ATCATAACTCACTACTCAAATTCAATATTTGAAGCCTAATTTTAACATTTCAAATTAAGTTCAACTTATATTAATAATAATAGTTTTTGTTTTAAAAAAAAAAAGAATATGTAGGCGGGCTCGGGCTGCCATTTGGCTACTTCAGCCCGCACCGCTTTGGGCCTGCATCGCCGCGGGCTGGCCCGTATCCGCACCGCCAGCCCGCATTACCACCTCTAAATATAAGCGTAATGAAACTTTGAGAAACTCTCAGGAAGCAACATTTCTCCGAATACTTCATTTGCCACAGCAAATGTTAGTATGAATTTATATCTTTCTTTGTGCCATGCAATCCAATGAAGCACACTATTCATGAACAGACGTTTTTCACAATCATAGTTATCATGGTTATCGATGAGCTCACCCAGAGATGGAGGTGCGAGACGTTTCCATGACCATGTGACATATGAGAAAACCCAAACCATAACAAGTTAACAACTTTGCCTGTTTGAAAAAGGTATATAATCTTGAAATCATTGCTCCTACTATCAAAACCAAACCCCACGCGTTTGTCCATCTAAACATGGCTCCATGACTGTGGGAAGTGTTACATATTTTCGACTAGTCGGGTTCCATAGAGCAAAATCTCTATATAAAACATCAGAAAAACATACTAAACCGCCACTTGTACCAATCAATAATCTTTCTGTGAAGTCATCAAAAGGAGAAGGACATTCCACCGTGCGAATGAAATCGAATTGGTCATTATTCCAATGAAGCGAATATCTTTGTTTTTGGTCTTCATAGCTCATCTCACCAATGAGAAGGACCTGGTTTTCGGAATCAAAAGTTCGTCGTGAGCTGCGAGATATGAAATCTGAACGGGTGATGAGAGAATTCCAGTCTCTACAAACAAAGAAGCATTGAATTAGGGTTTGGACGTCGAGATTGAGTAGAATTTGTTCAACAAGGTTGAGAGGAATGAAAGGAATAACATTGCTATTTGTGTTTGTGGCGTTGTGGTGAGAGCTTTTTCGTTTGTCGGGTGACATTGCCGATTCGGGTTTGACGACAGCGGGCTGGGAAGGAGGGGACACTGACTTGCGCCCATAAATATCTATATATATAGCAATTTTTATTTAATATATTTGGATTGATATTCTAATTTTGTTTAAAATTAGGATAAACATGGAAAAGATAAATTAGGAATTCTTCATCATATGATAATAAATAGAAGTATCAAAATTTATAATTTAAAATCTTCACTATCTTGGATGAGATATATCACTATCAGCATCAAATTTGTTTTCGATGAACAAATTATTACAAAAATCTTGGATCAAAATTAAATACACCAAGAAAACCCAAATAAGAAACAACATTATTTCTTTCGAAATACACATTATAATGAGAAACAACAATAAATAAGAAAACCAATTACTTCCCCCCCACCTTCTCCTTTAGGCCACGGAACACAAAATCCCATACCACCTTTACTTGCTTCACCAGCATTTATTTTCTTTTGAATATTCACTAAATAGGAAAATTGCTGTCTCTCATTACAGGATTTATCACCCAAAATATCGAAGAACCAAGTCTTTAAGCAGATGCAACTCATCTTCATATATGTGCCATATATCCTCTAGTATGTACGCATAAATGCCTTTCATTCTGCACATAGATGAAGATAGGTTACGTAGAAACGGGTTATATCCGCTAAAGATAAGTTTGTACCAAAATCCTATGCTCATTTTGATTAACTATGCTCGTTTTGATTGGCATGTCTCTCAAATCTTCTGTTTAATGAGATTTTTCTTGAAGCCTCGTGTAACATCCCGAACACTAAACCTGGAGAAAATAGGCTATTAAAGAATTATGAGGTTCAAAGGAATTATTTTAAGGATTAGAGCCGCAAAATTACTTTATTGGTCAAGAATCCTATTTTTGGTAAAATTTTAAGGAGATTAAGAAGAAAAAAATAATTATTAAAAATTATTTAGTGCCTAAGAAAATTTGGGGAGACATTATGGAATATTTTTTTGAGTATTTAGAAAATTTAAGAAGAGGTTGAATTCTGGAGATAAGGGCCTATTTTCCTTAAAATTCAAAGAAAAATAGTTAAGAAGTCAATTTTGAGCCAAGATTTTTAGGATAAGTATTTTGTAAGGTGAAGAAGTTAATTAGGCAGAAAATCCTTACAAAGTATTAAGAATTAATTTATGGAATTAAGGGCTTTTTTTTAGAAAATTCAAGAAAAATAGTTAGGAATTGATGTTTGACCCGAAATGCTTCGAGAAATTATTTTATGGATTAAAGAAGTTAATGGAGAAGGAAAATTCACCCAGGACGTTGTGGAAAATTTTTTGAATTTATTCTATGATTTCAGAAATTTAGTGAAAGATGAAATTGAAAATAAGAAAGGTTAGAGCTATTCATCTGAAGCTCCATTCTCTCATTCATTTGGACTGGGACTGGAGAAATTAGAGAGACCGAGGGAGGCAAGAGGGAGCAAGGAAGAAGAAAAATTTAATCGGAGACCATTTTCTTTGCATACAACTGGCGATCTTGATCTAGGTAAGCGCTCCTAAGCACCATTCCACCCTTATTTTCTTCTGTGGATGCGTTTTTGGGTGAGATTTTAGAGGATGGAAATCTGTTTTAGAAAGAGAAGTTAAGGAACAAGGAAGTAATCGAACTAAGCTTGCTTTGCTCTGATTATTGTCGCTGGGTTCACTGATAAAAGGCTAGAAGAAGCATGTTTTCTTGGTTGCATGTCCCTCTCTGTGTCTCTATCTTGTGCGTCTGAAACAGGGGTTATTAACCCATCAAAGTTCTGTGAATGTAAATATATATATGTGTGTGTGTGTGTGACCGAAACTTGGGGTGTAGTACAGTGTGAGGATGGTGTTGCATGCGGAATATTGCCGTAAGAATGATGGGTTCGAATCTGTAGCTTCTCTTGCAGCAGTGCTCTGTTTGGTTTTCTCATGGAGATAATATAAAAGTACTTAAATGCTTAAGTATATAATGTATTTGTGTGCTGTGCGGATGTACGACTTTAAAAACTCTAAAGGATCATACTGTGAAAGCAGAAACGAATTTAGATTTTGTTGGCTGTCTATAAACACTGCATAATCGTTAAATGTTTAAATCATGCCTAAAGACTTCAAGATGAAGGTCTAAAGCGTGTTCTTGAAGCTAAAATTTTCTGTTGTTAGTATGGGATGCCATTTGAAATTTTGGAGCCACGTCTCAGAGAAGTTGTTGCTTTTAAAATAACCATAATGTACCCAAGTTATAAGGAATTGAAATAAAGTATATATGTGGCATCCAGAAGATACATAAAACGTGGTTGAAAGTTGAGTTCTTGAAGAGAATACTTTCTGGAAAATCTGGAAAAATAACTTTCAGATTTAACATGAAAGACTACCCGAATTTTGAAGGGAGCACAATGGTACCAAAAGCAAATGGACTTGCATTGTATACCATTGGTATGATGTATGGGGGGAAAAAATGCTTGCTAAAGTTGGATTTGGACTCCTGATTTTAAATCAGCTGGAAAAATTCACATTGAAATTGCAAAGCTATTAAAGTTTAGAGGAGGATTAACTGTTCAAATGAGACAATAGTTGAGTTGCTTAGGTGCTATGTAAATGGTTAATGATGGATGTCTAATAATTGGGAATTTTCATGACTTTAAGAAAGTTGATAGTCAAAACATAAAATATCAGGTCTTTCATTTAAACTCTAAAAATTATGGAAGTGATGTGCAAATAGAGGATTATGCGTATTTTAGCCTTCTTTTTATCCCTCTAAATTAGGAGCATTGGCATTAAAATATCAGCATACAATCAAAGTTGAGTTAGAAAACCAAGTATCTATTGCTACAAATGATGCACCAACTACTATTGCTATATATTGTAGTTTAGAATTTGAACCAATCTTTGAATTTAGGCTTCTTGCAATCCTATCTACTGGTGCTAACGAATACCAAAAACCCTTAAAAATTCATAAAAGAGAGGAAAAAACATTTATTAACAAAAGAAGGACCGCATTTTCATTATTATTAACAGGAGCTAACATTGTCTCGTTTCTCCAATAAACACAATAATAAGCAAAAACCAGGCCACTATGTCGAACTGTAGCTTCTCCTAAGAGTTTCGTTGTTCTTGGATGATACCTAACAACTTGTCGATTTTTGAGTTCTAGTATCATGTGTTGGTTCTTTTTGATGGCCAACACATCCCTTGGAACAGACTTTAGCGCCCAAGACAATATTCTTTGTAAATATTTGTCCATGAACCATGGACACCATATTGTTTCATAATCCACACCGACCAACAGACAATCCGACATGTATCTCTCGTTTCATGTACCACAACAAGCGAGTCCCCTGTTGGTACTATGTAAATACTCCTCTGATGATCTCGCAATACTCTCACAAAGAGATATTTCTCCGAACATCCCATTTGGCACATCAAATGTAAGTATGAATTCATCACATCCTTCTCTGTGCATGGCAAACCAATGAAATACACCATCCGTGAACATATATCTTCTTTTATAGAGGAAGATTTGGCAAGGAGCTCTGATATATTTCCACGACCATGTGACGTGTGAAAAAACCCAAATCATAGCAAGTTCAAGGATTTCATTTTGGACAGTGCATATAACCTGAAGATCATTGCTCCTACTGTCAAAACCACACCCTACACATGACTCTTCATAAAATCATTCCTTCGTGATTGTGGGAAGCTTTACATGTTTTGGAATAGTTGGATTCCATAGAGCAAAATTTTCATGTGAAATATCAGAAAAACATACTAACACATCGCTTGTACCTACCACTATTTTGTTATTGAAGCCATTAAAAGGAGGAGGACATTCCAATGTGTGAATCAAATCGAATTGATCATTATCCCAACGAAACGAATATCTTTTATGTAGGTCTCTGTAGTCTTCTCACCAATGAGAAGGACTAGATTTTTGGAATCAAAAGTTCGTTGTGAGTTGCGAGATACGAAATCTGGACCGGAGATGATGGAATTAGGGTTTGGGCGTCCAGGTTGAGCGGAAGTTGTTCAACAAGGTTGCGAGGAATAAAAGGAATAACTTTGCCATTTGTGGTTGTGGCGTTCTGGTGAGAGCTTTCTCGTTTCTTGGGGGACATGGCGGCCTGGGGTTTGACGACGGACTCGGAATGAGTGTACACTGACTTGCGTCTGTAACTATGGATACAAATTAATTTTGTTTAAAATTAGGATAAACATTAAAAAAAAAATAGGAATTTTTAATCATATCATATCACATGGTAATAGAGAGAAGTAGCGAAATTTATAATTTAGATTGAAAAAAATGAGACACTTGTTATAAATATGTAATTTTAAAAATTTATAATAACCAATGTGATCTTCAAAGTTTTCAATGAAACAGCTATTCAAATCCTAGTCACTATGTAGAGCAATTTTATTGCAGAATCTACATATCCATTGTCTTCAGTATATTGGAAGATATATCAGTATCAGCATCAAATTTGATTTCGGTGAACAAATTATTTAAAAAAAAAAAAGAAGAAGAAGAAGCTCGGATCAAAATTAAATACGCCAAGATTCTTTTTATTATTGAAGGCCACAGCCAAAATACACATTATAGTCAATCTAAACGGAAGTGTCACCAAACTCAATACCGACGGAGCCTTTGGTGGACATGCCGGCATATGGTGTGGAGGACTATTGAGGGACACAAAGGGAGAGTTCCTATCAGCTTTCATGCACCACGATCATCACGGAGACGACGTTACAGCAGAGCTGTGGGCGGTACTAATTGGACTGAAAATGGCTTGGGAACAACGCACACGCCGACTCGTGGTGGAATCAGATGCGGCTGAAGTGGTCATGCTAGTCTCGTCCGTGATCGACCAGCGTCATAGGGACTTCAACCTTGTTACAGAGATCAAGGCTCTGCTTGCTCGTGACTGGGTGGTGAGGATAGAGCACATAGCTAGAACAGCGAACTGTGCAGCTGATCTCTTGGCAAAACAAGCTCTGAACGTACCTGATGGACTTCATTACTTCTCCGTCGCAAGGCTTGCGGGAAGTCATGGCGAAGGATAGGCAATATATGTATTTGGACACTGGATAGATCCTAACCAGAGTTGGTTACTCGACTTTTATCAACCCAAAAAAAAAGAAAAAAAAAAGAAGAAGAATTACCCCCCTTCTCCATCACAAATTACCTTGCTTTCTCTGCATTTATTTTCTTCTGAATATTCAATAAATAGGAAAAATTGCTGTGTCTTATTACAAAATTTATTTTCCAAAGTCCAAGCCATCAAATGACTCAAACATTTAAGCGGGTACAACTCATCTTCATATATGTATAATATATTTTCTACTATGTACGAATGTTTTTCTTTTAATTAATTAGATGACCAACTCCTTCTTAACCTTAACCATTCAAACAATTTGATTTTATGTTATAAACTTCAATTATTATGAAAATATCTTGAACGAGTCATGAAGGTGGCGGTTTGCGCATCTTATTCGTTAAGAGGCTTGAACATCGCATTCAGTACTCTGCGTCATGAAATTAATTAATTTTATTTTCTATACTATCTCCATTCACATTTTTAATTAAAACATATTAACCCAGAAAAATAGTTACCTATGTAGTTAAAATTTCAACTTTTTCACCCTAATTTTGTCCCCTTTTTAATAATACTACTAATAATTAATTACTTGTTAGATAGGAGGGACGTGATTTTAATATATTTTTAGGAAGAATTTAGGTAAAAAGTCATGAATTGCTTCGGTAAAATGCCTTACATATTGAAACGTGAGATTTTACAAAATATGCCCATTCTTAAAATAAAAGCAGTGTCTTTTGCCCAAAGAATATATTTCCATTATTAAACCTTCAAAAGGAAGCATAAGTACAAGTCACAAGCCAATTTAAACAAACCACAAAAAGAAAAATATTGATATATTTATTTATCAATAGTTTTTAAAATTGTCAATAAATTTATTTTTACAACACTAACATCTCAAATTCCAAAGTGTACAATCTTATATATTAATATCATGAAGTATCGTCCTTTTCTCATAAAACAGTATCATGAATTATTATTATTATTTTGAATTTTTGTCTTACCTTATTATGTGAGCACAACTTTACTCACACATAAGGGTTCATAAGGACTAGTACTTCCTTGGATCAACTTATTTTAAGTGATTTTATATTATATGAAGTAAATATATAAAAAAGAGTTGCTTTTCATAAAGCATGAGAATACTTATTTTAAGTGTTGACCGGGTTAACTATTAATTTGATGTTGAATTTTTGTACATTCAGGCCAAGATCAAACCAAGCTGACATATAAGACCAAGTTAACTATTGAAAAAAGAAATAGCAAGTAGAATAACAGAATGAATTAACAAGATGGGGTCATCTAGAATTCCATTTTAATGACCTGCTTGACCTCTTCATACATTCATCGCCATCAAGAAACCCGAGACTCTAGAGTGTTTAATATAATTGACTTTTCAAAAGAAGTTACTATTAATTAACCTGGAATCAACTTGTATGAGAAAGAAGAAGGAATCAACCCATAAAAATGGAACACAAGCCGATTCAATACCAACAACACGTCAATCTTGAACTCCATTTAGGTGCTTCTATAAGATGTCTCTCTTTCATGGCAAAATTCTTCACCTCTGGTTCTCTTTCATGTGTATTGCTGTACAGCTTACAATATCACTGATAGAGCCAAATTTACAGAGTCTATATTGTGAAGTGAGAAAACATGGGTCTTCTGCGGAAAAGCTTGGATGCCAAGTTTAATGACATTAGTAAACAAGCTGTTTCAAGGAATGCCATCTTAAAGAACAAGTGTCAAGTACGAGGATCCTTTGCTCGCTCTGATGTCGTTCAATTCTTGAACCTGGGTTGCCATGCCAGGGCTCTCCTTCGAGTGAGCTTTCATAGTCCCTTCTCTTATTTACTCTTTTATAATATACAGACTCAATCTAATTCACTATGTATTTTTTGAACGGGTTAAGGTCCAATTTCGCCTTAGAATGTCTTCTTACATAACTGAATTTGAATTGTAATAAACAGGTGGAGCAATTAATAAGAGAGCAAAACATGGTGGATGTGTTTGTTATGATAGAAAACTACTGCAACTTTCTGAGAGGAAAAGCCAATCTTGTTGAAAAGAACAGGTTAGCTAGCTCTTTCATGTCCTTTCCTGTCTATATCTTTATTCTTGAACTATATTATTGAATTATATGCATTCCCAAATCAAATGTTTGAAATAGCGAGTGCCCTGAGGAGATCAAAGAAGCAATATCAAGCCTCATCTTTGCATCATCTAGATGTGGAGAATTTCCAGAGCTTCAAAAGATTCGAGAGATTTTCACTTTCAGATGTGGGAAAGAATTTGCTGCTCGTGCTGTGGAATTGCACCAAAATAACAGAGTGAACTTCAAGGTACTGATTATATCAAAGCAGATCATGCATCGCAAAATCTTCATTACATCCACAACAATAGTATTATGTTAACTTCCGTTATGCTTTTATTTCAGATGATACAGAAGCTTTCAGCTAGACGGCCAGCCTTGGAAATCAGGCTGAAAGTGCTGAAGGATATTGCTGCAGAAATTGGAGTTACTTTGCAATTGGACCAAGACTCTAGATTGCCATATGAGCACGAGGAAGAAGAGCAGGAAAGAAACAAGTCAAGCACGGGCAAATATCTTACGCCTACAGAAAACACCCAACAGTTTTCTGCATATGTAGCTCAGCATGAACATTAAACAGACGAGATTTTGCAGAGTATAAACGGTGGTTTTAGTATTGAAGAATTAGGAAAATCAAATTCGACTTGTTGAACCAAAACCCATGCCGGAATTGGTACATGCCATAGTGAAATTTAAACTAAAATTAAAACAATAAATTTCATTAGAATTAGGTGGAAAAGCAGCTGTTTCGATTAGTTTTAACTTGGCTTTAACGCTTTCGATGAGGTATAACAGTTGAGTTTCCCTCGTAGAGATGAAAGAGAGAAATCACATCATAATTTTCAACTGCTGAATCTCATTTAAAGCCAACCAAATAATCAGAGCTCAGAAAATACATGGTAGAACATAGGAAAGGGCAAAATAAGCGATGAGTTGGGCTCTACAGTAAGGTTCTGGATGAATAAGAAACAAAAGTCTGATGCAGCTGCAGAGAATCAACACTTCAGTGCCGAACTCATCTTACTTACCAATGTGACAATCCCCAAGATAGAATCTACAGAAGCCTCAATCTGACTGACAGCATTATGTGCCCTACAGAAGTGATGAGAAGACATATGAGAAGTACATATGAACTAAAAGATAAGGTCAGAATGTATCACACAAGCACAAAGACAAGCCAAAAAAATGTTGTAGTTCATTCAGATTAAATAATTTTCTTTTCCTTCTACTGGCCTCAATTACTTCTTTACTAGTATTTTTTGTTAGTGCAATCAGCTATCCTCTCTCCAGTTATCTTAGAAGCCATATTTCCTTTATATTGGCCTCGTGCATTTAAAATCCACCCATGAGAAGAATCAAATCCAAGTTAATAAAATAAGATATTTAACCCCTTTGGGTTCTCTACTTATTTTTTGTTGATCCACTTGCAACGTGAAACTTATAAATTGTGCTCGACACCAAAAGAACACATAAAAGTGAAAACCAACCGAGCCAGTTTTAAGCCAAGAACTGCTAATTTGCTTGATTATAGTTTGTGGAATGCTCAAAAGTCAAAACTCAAAACCATGATGAATTATGCAAAATGGAAAAATTTTCATGTATCCCTCAGAATGCCGATACAAGAAGTAATGTTACTGGGGGAAAAAAAAGGATATGACGAAGGCAGTCCTACTATCATATATGGTTCCACTTCAAGAATACCAGCGAAACAATTTATCTTCCCTTAGATTTCAGTCTTTGCTTCCTTTTTTTTTTTTTTTTAATAAGCGAATGTCACCCTTATACACTATAACCTTTTCCTTGCTAGGAAACAAGAAATGTTACACGTAGATCCAGCAGTTACTATAAGTTAAAAGAGAATTATCTAATAAACAAGTCACTACTCATTTGTGAACTCTAAGAAGACAGTCCACAGAGATCAGTAGGTTTTAAGTCAATCCTTACCCAACAGTGAGACCAAACAAAATGCTAAATCAAATGTAACAACAATTTTAATTTAGCCTAACAAATCTGTCTAACCCTCAGAAACCTTTATATTAGGCCCTTCATCTCCTTAATCCAAACTCTGTTTTGTCTTGCTAACTACCTATTTAAGAATATGTTATTGTGCTTTGCAGATGGTACACATTATTTTAAAACATATATACAAACGAACAACCACATAAATTCACCAATGGCCCTCAAAACTTGTGATCTCTATATGTACGTTATTTTTAGAGGACTTATCAGTCAGTGCCAAAGGGGAATACAGGACTAAACTCTCAATTAGAGTCAGTAAAATCTAATAGATTAAGAGGTGAAGTGACTACAAGACTATCCTAAAGCAATGACAAGTCTACCCTAATAAACCATCCAACAGTAACAATCCACAAAAGATAGTGCTGGATCTTCTAAATGAATTAGGAACTTGTCTTCTATACATGCGCGCACACACAGAGGACAGAGCCCTACAGCAATGCAATACAGCAACCATAACATTAAGGACAAGACTTTGATATAGTTTTTTGATAAGAGATTCTCCCATAACATATGGTTCGATTGTTTTTTAAAAAGTTCGTACACATATTTTCATCAAAGAACCTAGTAGTAAATAGATGTAAGAAACTAATGTTTTCTTTTCTTTTGTTCTTTTTATGCTGACAAGGAAACATACTTTTAAAGCAACATCAAATGCATTTGAAATATCGTACATTTAAGATTACACTAAGTTTCCACCACTCTGCTGCCACAAATTGATAATATCAGTAGCTTGGTTGAGAAGAATAATCATTTGCTTTTGAGATATCCAGGGCTTGCTCTCCAGTAACTCCTTGAGCTCTTCCCAAGCATCTTTCCTTGGCCAAAAGTAGTAAGGGCTCAGAGGAATAGTGCCATGCCCCGGAATCATTTGGTCGAGTGCAATGCCAATGTTTTTCTCCATCCAAATGAATTTCAAGACAAGCCTTGGACTGTCAATTGGCTTCACCACCACTCCAAGCTTCTAAAACATTAGCAACAGATAGCAGAATATGAGACACCACACTGTGATATGACAGAAGATCCAGTGCTTAATTAAAAGGTAAATCATGCTGTCCCTGGTTTTGAAATTTCAACGGCTCTTTCAATTTGTTTAATTTTAGAAGAATTGCCAGAAAGGAATGGAAGTCGATATTAAAAAAGTAGTACATTTTGGTACAATATCTCCAGCTATTTCTTGTTTGACAAAAAAAAGTCTTTTACACAAGTACATAGATAGGTATAATTTATAATGGTAGAGTAAAGTTAGTTATCCGTCAATCTATTCTTTAACACAAGGATAACAACATCAAACAAATACTTCGCAATTCCCTCAAATAAAAGAAAAATCCTTGGAACTCCCCAAACATACCTGAGTCGCAGGAGGGTTTTGAGCAGAGACACTATCCAACTCCGTGTTCTCATCCACAGACTCTTCAGCTGTAGCTGCAGCGGCAGAAAGCCTAAATTTTTGGGGTGCTGCATTAAGAACTGGATGTGAAGAGAATGACCTCGGCTTTGTGAAAACGCAAGGTTTGATGGATGTAACAGAGGGATTCGAAGATGAAAATGCAAGAGGCTTGAGAGAAGAAGAAGCATGAAGGTTCGGTTGGACCGCCATGGATAACATCTTCCAAGTTAACTGCTTGTGCTGTGGAACTGCGAGAGGCGAACTGAAGAAGATAAGGCAAAAGAAAGAATCGAGTTATATTTGCGCCAGCAGACAATACATAATTAAGATTTAAACGATTTTGATGAGTCTCCATTCTAATTTTATTTGACTATTTCAGTCCAAAAAATAATTTTATTTGACTATTTGACTAATCTCTCGTTAATTGCATTTATTTGTTTTGATAAAAATATTTTTAAATGTTAATTCAAATAACAAAATGTAATTTATCTTATACTTAATTTTATTTTTTTTAAAAGAAAAAAAAGACTTGACATGGGGCATAAGTCAATTGAAAAAAAGAACTAAACTTGATCTATTGTTTTTTCCCTTAATCAGATGTCTAAGCAAAAGCATAATGTTGAATTGTTGTTTTGAAAGATTTAATAGTAAATTTTAAAATTTAGCTGCAAGTATGACACTAGGGATAGTTTGGCTCTTTTAGGAGAATTAAAATTTAATTATCAAAATCTCTTCATGTCATTTTGATCAAGTTTAAAAGCTCAAGTGAAATTTCTCTTAACTATGATCTAACTTGGAAGTATGGACACACATATCCAAAGAATGGAGTGTGTAAACATTTGTCATCAATGCACAAACCAAGGTTCAATTGTCACCATTTAAAGGAAACGTATCTAATTAATTTCTGATTAAGAATCATCATATAAATTACCAAAAATTTATTATAAATGAATTACACAAAATTCAATCTGATAGAACCAGAAAGTGAAACAGATTTGGGTCTTCTTCTATGACCATGCCTCAATATGATATTTACCACTCTTTTCTAAAGCCCTAAACCACCTCAAAGCAACATCCTTTGAGACCCCACTTTCTTTAATTACAATTTCCTCCAAAGTTGATGATACATCTGCTGGCATTTTGGTTGAAGAACCTGCTATGTAAATAGCAGCTCCCTCAGCTAATAGATTCCAGATCCTTTGGCTCTGTTCTCGCATTTTATGCTGAACATAGACCTTTTGAGGTTGGTCCCTTGAAAAGGCGACATAGAAACCACCACCATTCGTTTCTGAAAGCACGCCATGGTTTTGTGAATGAGACAACCAGAAGTCTCGGTACAGGAAGTCGCCATCTTCGTTTCGACAACCAAAGAAGAAAATAATCGGTGCAGTTGAACTCTTTCTGCTTTGTAATGCTCTTTCCTCCACAAATCCACGAAATGGTGCGCAACCAGTTCCAGGTCCAATGAGTACCAGGGGAAGTGAAGGTGAGGGAGGAGGAAGAGAACCTTTATGAATCCAACCTGGTATATAGACGACTGCACAAAAGGAAAATAGTTAAGAACACAAGTAAACAGATGGCATCTTCACAAGAATAATCTGTATAGTGTGTTTTTTTTTTTCATTTTTTCTTTCCCCTTTTTTGTGCTTTTACCATCTGTAGGATCCAGTGAAGCTAGCCATGTGGAGCATAGGCCTTTCCTCTTCCTTTGGTAAGGTGTTGTCCAAGACACTACATTTACAGTCAAGTGCACTTGATTGGGATGAGCTGATTGGGAAGAAGATATAGAAAATGCTCTTGTTTTCAGTGGAGGAACTAATTGCACCAGCCACTCAAATGGCATTTGTACTGAAGGAAAATCCTCCAACACCTGCTTAGTTTCAAAGAAATACGAATATCAATTAAAACAAGATGATTCCATATAAAGGCAAAAAAACAAAAAAGAAAGAAAGATACTCAGAGACTGCTTAAAAGTGCTTATAAAAGGACTCCAACTTATCAAAATAAACAATTCAAGGCAATGAACCAAAAACATCCAATAAGTGGATGGTTCTAATTTCAGCTTTGAAATGTCAGCTTTTATCCTAGTAATAACCTCCTAAAATTATGAAACTTTTTAAGACATATATAAAACATAATTCAGACATTCAAATTGTTCATTCTTTTTTTTTTTTCCCCACAAAATTATTCTAGCAACAACAAGAATAACACTACCACAGGGTTGTTACGTGGTTGCACAACAAATTACAAGCACGTGGAACGAGACACTTCAGACTACATAGGGGGGGGGGGGAACTAAATTCGGGCTAAACCCCAGGAGGATAATAATATTTTTCAACACCACCCCCCCCCCCAACCCAAAAAATAAAAGGCACTGGAAAAATCGTAATCTTTTTTAAGATAATCATACAGCGACAGCCAAAGTAACACATGCCCCTATCATATGTGGTTACCAAGCACGACCAAAGTTTAAGAACCACCCAAGTCTTAATTATTCATTCAACAATTCTTCTACGTCCATCTGTAATTTTTGCTCCATTTAATATCAAAAGACAGCTCTTTAACATACCTTTATACCAAAAAAATATGGAGCAATGCAAAGATTTTTTTTGGGGGGGGGGGATCACATGAAATTTATAATTTAAAAAAGAAAAAACTGACACATAACGAAGACTCAATAGGAAAATCATGTGTCATGAGTTGTTCATTTTACCTCAAGGACAGTTCTCCGCTCCTTCTGGTTGTACTGATAGAGGTCTTCTCTTCCTTCAGGTGAAACAAAATACTGGAGTCGTTCCCTCTCATGTTCTGCCGTAGCAAAGAAACTCATGACCTTGAAATAACAAATGATTGATATGTAAGTACTTACTGCGGAAAGTTACGTACGTGTGCATGTAGAAAGCTTGATTTCACTAGGTTTATGAAGAAACAACAATGTAATCAAGAAAGCACCTGCTACTGTCATGCATCCTTTCCTACAAGTTCTTTAAATTTAAGAAAGCCTTATGCATCAGACTAAATTCCATGATGAATATACAATCATAAAGGTAAAACAGAAGTACCATGTCGCCGGAGGGAAAAAAGACATTCAACAACAGGGTATAATGGCTTCTTTGCAATATTAATACTAACATTTTAACAAAAATGTGAAGGCTTCTTTGTCAATCTAGATAGAAAAGTAAAGGCTACCAAGGGCATTCCATATCTCTTTCCTTTGCTTAAACATATTACTCTTTGTACATAACCCTGAATCCCGAAGCTACAATAAAGTAAAAATAATAATAAAATAGAGTCACAACTAGGCGAAGCGCAAAATGTTGAACTATATAGCATGGTGGGCAATGCTATCTAAATTGCCATTATAACGATGGTTAAAAAGCATAGTGGTTCTTGCCTCAAAGAAATATCGTCGAGGGGAAGCTGAAGATACGTCCATTGTCAATTCCACAAAAGTCTTCAACTTTATCGGGATCATAGAGGCATGTGCACCACAATTATTCATTTCTCTCGGACTGACCTGAAATTGATGAAATTGCTTATAAGAAAATAACAGAACAACGCATATTCACATAATTGTCACCAGACGTATGCAAAGAATTGAATTGTGTAGATATATCATAGAAAGAATGATTCAGGCCCCCTCTCCCCCCCCCCCCAAAAAAAAAAAAATAAAATAAAGAATGATGATTTTGTTGGAAAATGCCAATAAGCTGGAACTGGAAGCCAGTACAAAATTCAACACACTAAATTATTTTAACATTCCTGAAAAGAACAAATTTAAGATTAATTTTCAACTTTTACAAGGAGCTAAAAAAAATACTGATTTTTTCAGTTCATAAAACAGAATCATCAAATCAGTCACAGAAAAACCTAATAGCATTTTTTTAAAAAAGAAAAATCTATAGTGCAGCCATGAAAGTTCATTGTAGTTGAAGGATGCATGCATGGAAATGCTAGTACTAGTAGACAAGGGGCAACTTAGTGTGATATGTCCAAAAATATCATGTACAGAAGAATTACAATATTCTCAAAAATAACATAAAGCACTCACAGTAATAAATGAATCAGGATTTAATTTACAGCAACGTAGAAAAGCATCAACTGCAGCTGGATCTTGACTGGGGAGAATTTCAAGGACATCACCAATGTCATATTCAATAACCTAAGGAAAATCATAAAGACATCCTTTACTTCGAAAGAGGAAGCTGAATAACCTTGGAGGTATTATCATATGAAGTAAAATCAATTTGAAGTAGAAATAAACAAAAGATAGATAGATAAATAAATAAATAAATCATACATAAACGAGTTAAGAGAATCTGACTTACATGTTATACAAATATATACAACAAGTTTATAGAAAACAAAGAGCTTACATGTGAAAAAAATTCAAACTCAAAGTGACGGACATCTTTTCCACTGCTTGATTTGGTCAAAGGAAGATTCTTTACCTACACGATCAGAACTAGATATATGAAATAATGAAATAACAAACGAGATAAAGGATACATTGGCAAGCAATTTGAATATATATAGCAACTGAAAGACCCCAATGACATATATCTATCAGTATTAATATCTATCACTAAAGCTGAACCGCTTCACACAGGATTGGAAATCTTTCAGCAAATATTATTTCTTTCCATCAACAAATGACTTTTCCCTAAAACTAAAAGGTCAGATTCCTCTATTTTCCAAACAATAAAATGCACAACAGTGTCTTTAAAATGCACATAATTAGATTGCTTAGTATTCTAGGCATGGCCTTTCCAAAACCTTCGCTGCACTACTTACATTCCTCGCACTATTCTCTGGATACAGACAATTGTATATCAAACGTCTTGAACTTTAAAAGATCTCACGAACTAATCAATTTATAACATAAGTAGGATCATGCACTATATATGAAACAGATTGGACAATGCACAGTCACACAGCAACCTATATACTGATCACATCATTTTCCTTTAAGTAGAATACACAGCAACAATTCCAGCAAATCTATAATATTTTTTAATTCAATACCATCTTAAGAAAGCAGCCAGGCCTGTTTCTGTCAGGATGGGATGTGCCAGGATGCATTGAACGAGCACCTCCAATTTGAATCTCATTATACTTTAAATCTGGGGAAAAACCACAAGTATACGTTGGCAAATTTAATAAGTTCTACCAAAGTTCCATTACAAAGGGAACAAGAAAGGCATGGCTCGAAATAAACTCATCACAAGTGCATATCTGTTAACTAGGAGAGAAAGAAAAAGATAAAATGCTGCTACAAATCATATCACTCTAACAACCCAAGAGAAGTATCTCTGGTACAAGTAATTTACAAGAACTAATTACCTAATACTTCTGCATACAAGTATTTATAATATAGACCTGGATAACTAAAGAGCTAAATAACTCATAACAAAGACATGAACGCCACAGACAAACATGAGCAGAACTGAAACTACAACTGACGCAGATTTGGAAAAACTGAAGCATTAGTGGCTTTGAACACTACTTCATAACTTCCCCATTAAAATGGTTATGCTGAGGCCCAAGTAATTTTGGCCATTTGTTTCTCCTAGTGTAAGTTAGGAGAGGTTGCTGTACACATGATCTCTTATCAATCTCAAGCACACATAACCAGCTATTTAAACTAAAGAAAGGCACTTCAAGATAGCATCACTTTTCCTATAAAAGATGAAAATGCATCAGCAACAAATATACAAATGTGGATGGTAATGTATTGTCCAAAACAAAAACAGAAAACACATGATAGTGTAAAAGCTCATATGATAAGAGTTTATAAAATACTAACCAATGTTTCTTAGACTATCATGCCTTATCTTAAATGGTGCATCAAGGCAAAGCTTAATTATTAAGGGAACATTGCAAGTCAGCAAAAAATTTAATAACTTGTTACCTGAGGCAGTAGAAAATTGTGACTCCACAATGTCAGTGTTGTGATAAGTGATTTGGACTTTTGGCTGATCAATTAATGTTTCATTTGGAACAATGACATCAGCGCCGTTGGGGAAGAATTCAGGTTTTATTAAGCTTAGCACTTGCCATAGAGATAACATCCAAGGATCCAAAGCACCTTCGTAGCTGCAAATGAGTATACAGCTAGAAAAATAAATAATTCACTCATTTTTAAACTTTTTTTTTAAAAAAAAAAAAATAGAAATGATGACTAACATTCAAAAAGAATCATACAAGATCCAACTGGGGGTCAAGCTCCCTTTAGTCACAAGCACAAAGGTAATTGTTTCAACCAAATCATACAAAATATTCTGAATTGATGGCATATTAGAAAATCTTACCCTGAAGGGTGTTGATCATCTCCTAGACCTCTTTCCAAAATAGTTCTTCCACCAAGGTCCATTAATCTTTTGTCAAGCTTCTTTGCGACAAACTGAAATTTTGTGCACACATTTTTTCAGAAGATGAAAATTAAATATCAAAACATATCTACCAAGATTAATAACCATATTTTCATCAAATTCCAGTATGGAATTACTCAATTGAAGTGATTTTCACAGTCAAAAGATTTCTATTAAATATTATGTTTATATTTATCTGAGGGAAGGAACGCAATACTGTCCCAACAAAAACGTGGAGTATACTACAAACAATGTCCTTACATTGTATTTCAGATATCCTGAATCACCCAAACCAAATACAGCATAAGGAACGCCATTCAGCCAATGCTTGCTCAGGTTTTTCTGCAAAAGATACCTCCAAAAGACCTGCATATTAAGAAAAATAAACAAATAAACAAACAAGGAAAATAACCAACTGGGCAAATGAAAATTAATTCTCTCCTCCTTATCACTTCCATGCCACCAAACCACAAACAAATAAAAAATACTTTTAACTAACCTTCATGGAATCTGGTGTGTCCCCCTGGCCTGTCGTTGAAACCACAAAAATCACAGCCCCCTCCATCGGTAACAAGTTCTACAAACAAATATTTTTGGATAAAATATAATGTATTAAAAAGAGATAACCATATGAAAGAGAAAGAAGCTGCTCTCCTAAAGAAAATGAAATTAATGATAGAGAAATAGAGTCTTCAACATATAACATGCCATCCAATCCTTTTGGATAAACAAAAGGCAAGCCCTTAAAGATAATATAAGCTGAACACTAGTGAGAAGTCACAAACATAATCTGATCATATAAGATATCTTAAGGCAACAGAGCAGCCTTACAGATGCAGGCATTCCGCTCCAGCCAAATGCATCAAAGCATTGCTAAGAGAATAAAAGGCCTCGTGATCCTTTTTCCATCCTAAAAACAGGTCAAGGGAAACAGCTCTAATTGGTGCCAAACAGTTTATTCCATGAGAAAACGGTTACCCAAGAATCAAAATCAAAATAAATGAGCAAAATTTAGAGAACTATACATGCACATAGCGCAATATAAATATTTAGGGGATATGGAAGTATTAGGTGAGTGAATGTTAAATGTATGTCATTAGTATTAATTCTATTGAGTACCATGCAAGAAAACTGGCAGTCCCTAATCAGACCAAACAAAGGGGGAAAAAAAGATACACTATTCCCTCAAAATACATGAGCAAAGAACCAATGAGACAATAAACACAAGCTTGTGCCATGGTTCTCTATGAAAGGAGCCAAAGAAACCATTCGTTATGGTGGCTATTCCATTCCCATGATGCAATGAGAATAGCATAAACCCCACATTGCCACAAAATTTTGGCCTCCTCATAAATCAGACCAATATTGTTGATATTAATTTCATCGTGCACGATATGCATCGAATATAAAGGACCTGACAATCACAAAGAAAACCATTGAAGACGCTGAAATTTCAAAAGCTTGCGGTAATTAAGTTCAAGCCTTAACAACTAAGAATTTACACTTGAAGACGACAGTAGAAGCATTTTCTCCACCCCCACACCCAGACATTTTGACCTCACCCTGCCAAAGTTTTAACATCTATAGCATCTCGATCAACCATCATAACACATTTTCTCGGGCTATCACAGGAAAAAGGCCATATTGTATCCTCAGGCAGGCAAAGCTTTCGAATTTAGTGTTTCTTCACTACGTTGAGGCCTTGAGAGAAATTAAGAACAACAAAGCCACAACCGAAACTGCAATTTCGTCTATGGGATACAAATAGAGAAAGCAACTCACAGGATCATAGTCGTCCAAAGAATGAATCTTGACAGGGCAGCCTCTTCGTTCAGCTTCGCGACCAAGCCGCTCCGCTGCATCCAATGCATTTCCAGTCTGAGTAGCATACAGAATCAGCAGCTCCGACCTGTCTTCCATGACAAAGAAGCCTCCACACCCCAAAATAAACAAATAGAAAAGAAAAATGTATGTCTTGAACTATTGCAAACTTATTCAGAAGAGTCCAAAAAGTTTAGAATTCTATAGAAATGGCAAGGAACTGATATAGGAGCTGTATCTGAATAAATAAACCGGGATTGGAGGCAAAATGATATTCAAAGTGTGACTTGTGGAGACTGCCAAACGAGGAAATGAATAGCAGGGATTCGAAAGAGGTCAATCTGCAGGCTCCAGTGCGTGAGCCGCGAGAACGATGGACATCGAGGCCGCCCTCGCGGAATGAAAATAAATGGCGGCATCACCGAACTTTCCAAAGGAGATTTTAGATTTTTTCGATTTTTCAATTTTTCAAATCGGTCCCCAAACTTTTTATTTTTGTGATTATCACATCATAAAATGGTTCAATTAGCAACTTACTTCTTATTGTTCAATTCCGTTATAATTAGCTCCCGACGGTATCCAAATCAGCAGCAAACAGAATCAAGGCAAAAACGATGGGGCAAACTATTAAAACACAGCAGACACAGAATGAAACAAACAAAATTTTGCAGATTCATGAGAAATTGGAGTTTTTTGCGTTACAGTCTTATACAACGAGAGAGGGAGGGCCAGAAGAAGATTAGGAGGATATTTGTCTATTTGAATGATTATGATTATTGTGTATTCAAATAATTTTTTTTCCATCCCTATGTTTTTGACTTAATTGTTTCTCGTTCTTTAAATTTTAATTCACTGCAACTCAAATTTTATAGTTTTAATAATTTAAAATTTTAGCCCTCAAACTTCATGAAATATATAATTTTATTTTTTTAAAATGCAAGGACTGAATTTTTAAATGGTTAAACTATAAGAACAAAGTTGTATTATTTGAAAAATGTTTTAAAAAGTTATATTTTTTTAAAAAAACAAACATTATTTGAAAAAAAAAATAATTTGATATCATCTGTATATAATATACAAGATTTAACACATATCTATATTAATAAAAAATAATTATTCATGAATCATGAATAATATACCTGATTTGCCTTCAAAGCGTGCGTATTATTCTGGTAAAAAAAAAAAGTGCGTATTATGAGATTTATAATTTAGTTTCAATTATTTTTGTAAAATCATATCTACAAATGGGTGTGCCTTTTAAATTTTGGATTATCTAAAAAATAGGACCTTAGTTCGTCCCATCTAACGATGCAAAGATTATTGTCAACAGGGGCCAATTCGTTCTTAGAGCTGCGACAGTGTATGTATGGTCCGTAAAGTGATCGTTTAAGCTACTGTAAAGAGGAATTTTTTTTATAGAATAATATTATAATCGTATAAATTAAATTCACTTAATAAAAACTTTTTACATTTTAAGAAACAAAATTTCTCTCGTATTCCTAAGCTAATCCAAACACCTTCAGCCGACTTCAACCCACAAAGAAGATACGTGTGTCCTTGTCAACACATACATGTATGTATTTATATGCACGCACATGTTTTTTTTCCATCTAATACTCTCCCGATCTTTAATATAAGACTTATTTAACTAATTTGATTAGATTAAAAAGGTTGTGTGAGTTAGTTAATTATAAAAAATATAACATATTTTTTCCAGAACACTATAATCATCTTTCTTGTCATCTTCCCTTCATTTTCTGCTTGATTATGATTGAAAGAGTATTTATAGAGGTAATTTAGAAAAAAATTAATAAATATGAGAAATATGTCTTATATTTAGGATCAAAATCAACTCAACAGTTAGATCCTATATTAAGGATAATAGGAGTAATATATATAATTAAAAAAAACAATTGGCATTTGAGTTTGTGTTGCGTGGTATTGTTACAGAATTAAAAGGAAAAGTTAATTTGGTAATGAAAGGAAATAAATAAAGCTATGATTGAACTAGTTAATAAAGCAGGGAACACATCAATGAATTTCAAACACTGCCAATTTACATAATTGAAATGCTAATGGTAGCACCGACACATACGATGTTACATTAAAAAAAAAAAAAATTACCATACACAAGAGATAATAGCTACAAAATCTCATGAACCTGAATTGACGTGTACTACACGCTCTGTGTTGTCTAGTAATTAGCAAGTCATTCTTATTTCGAACTATTTTCACTTTCTACAGGACTATCATCCTTGTTCTGTTGCTGCTCACAGCCCTTGTTTTCATTTATATCGTCTTCCTTGGCATCCTCGCATTTCCTGATCTGTTCATTGTTATCAGATTCACTTGAACTTTGTTTGAGTACTGCAGAATCTGATGCTTCTTGCTCAAGTAAATGTTCTTTGTGCAGAATATCAGCTTCTGACTCCCCTTCAACTAATTCTTTGGTTTCTTTGTCAGACAAATGATCGTCAGAGACCAGTTCAGTATCTGGGATTGATGTTTCCTTATCATGAACATCATGAATTACCAGTTGTTCTCCTTCCCCAGGCTCAATATCCTGTAGCTTGTTAGAGCAGTCATTGGATGGCATATCACATTGCTCTGTCGTTAATTCCTGTGATGTCGCTTCCTCTTTGACTTCCTGTGGATTTTCAGCATCGTTCACAGATTTGGATTTGCAATGTTCTCGAATCCCATCATCATCAGAAGTGCCTTCTGTATGAGATGCTTCAACCAGGTTAGGGTCCTCAGTAGCATTCTCAGTTTTTGATTCATCTCCAGCATCATTTGCAGATACAGGAAAAGACTGAAAAGCATCCCAATCGTCTTCACTAACTTCTTCTTCCTCCTCCTCCTCCACACTACTGTCTTCTGTTTTCACTGTGGCAGGTGGTTCAGAAGGTTTCTCTTCACTCTCTGCTGCCGGCTTTGGTATTTTTACATCCAAAACTGGTACCTTTAGTTCTGTTGCATTTTTGTCAGGTGTTACAGAAGCTCGGATTATTTCCTGAACGTAGATACCATGTACACACATCATCAATAAGCTGCTACCATTTATATTAATTGGAAGCTTATTACATAAGCAGAGGAAATAGAAGGAGTTTTCCATTTTCGTCATTATAATCTTCATCATTGTTCTGGACAGCTAACTGGTGATTGTTCAAGGCGCACAAGGATATGCTAACAGAACAAGATAAGTTCAATAGCCAATCCACAGAAGATATATCTTTACGAAAAAGGTACCTGAAGTTGCTGGCGGTGTAGTGGAGGCATTGATAGCATAGCATCCTTGAAATGTACTGCCGAAGAAGGAATTTGAGCGAGGCGAGAAACAAGCTTAATGGCTGTGCTTCTTAAATCATTGACTTCCTGCATTTGTTTGCATGATCAAAATACTAAATAAATAACCATGAAAGAGCTAATTCAATGTTTAGTTTTTTCAGTTTATATTACCTGAGAGAATCCATCTCCAGTTGACAAGAAAACCATAACAATGGCCTCCAGAAGTATTTTCGTATAACCTCTCTGGCAATCCTTCCCTCTGGACATTGTTTGTAATAGCACCATGAGACTCAAGCACTCACTGACAATGGTTACTGATTCTTTAGTTATAGGATTCTGCTGGCATCAGAAATGGAAGAATCTTTGAGAACGGTACTTGAAATATGGTACGACCAAATGTGATGAAGAAATGAAAATATAAATTGTGGCTGATATCAAGAATCAAGACAGATGCATATGCTGCTAGTACCTTCAACATTTTTTGAATCAAGGTGAAAATATCAGTCATGAGTTCCCCAACAAAAAACATCAAGAAGCTGGAATCTTCTGTATTTGCACCTTTTTGAACCCTAACTTTTAGAACTTGCAAGCCTATCACTTGAACCTAGCAAGAAGAAATTTCTATCAGATCGTTTTTCTGTCAGGGTATCAATTAGATTCTACCATATATTGATATACCTGCGTATTAGAATCAGTAAGTATGGTTTGAAGACATCTAACACAATATCTTAGTGTGCTATCGAAGGTGGAGTTGCTTTCTTTGCAATCTTCAAAGCATTCAACTTCGAGAACCAGTTTAGCAATATATATAATTTGTTCAAGACAAAATGTTAACTTCATTTGCAATAGTTTGCCCTTGTTGACTTGTTTGACGTCCAGCAAATGAAACCCTTCAATATAATCCTTAGCCAGGGTAGCCACCACACTTAAACAAGTTCTAAGTATCTCTCTTAGAGATAAGATGCTTTCGTTAATCTTAGACTCATCTGCAATCAAAAATGGAGTAGACATCTATCAACTATCATAGATTAATAAATCAAAGTTGAGCCTGCACTTGCATTTGCAAAGTTAGCTTCAACTCAATTCAAGCATCTGGAATCTCGCAGGACAAAATTTGTTGCAAGCATAAAAATGCCCCCAAATTACACGCATAAAACAAACACTAGTAACTACCACGGGGAGAAAATCAAGAAGCAACTGAAAATATTTGCACCTTACAAACAAGTCTTATCAGGAAAGGAAACATACGTAGGCCAAATCAATTTCAACTAAAAAATTAAAAACCTCACCAACAATGACTTTTTCTAACAAAGGGTATGCACAATTGACCACATCAATTGCTTCAGAGAAGCAGAATTCAGTGGAAGCCTCCTTAATGCACCTGTAGCCACTCAAAATAAATCCCAGAACAACTGATTTTGATTGCTTTTGCATCTGAAGTAAACATGATACAAGATCAAATCAGCACTAAAGATACAGTATATCAATAAATGCAGATGAGATTAATTTAAGACGAATCATATTATGCAAAAAAATTCATTGTGTATGACGACTGAAAAATAATAAGGCTTAGATAGAAGTTATCCAGTAACCAATAACTGACAAACCTTGGTTTCAACATGGTGCATAACCACTTTAGCTGTGCTACCTAGTGTACGTATCACATTTTCCTCCCACAATGGATGACCCACAGAATGTAAGTCAGTACTGTGGAACAGAAAAATAGGGATAACTAAGCTGAGTATCTTTGACCCAAAAAAAAAAAAAAAGAAATTAAAAAAATTAAAAATAAAAGTCCAAGAAACAATTGAAACGACGTCAAATTCATAAGTCACCATAGATTATGTTACCTCTGAAATACTTTAAAAAGGTAATCAAAGCAAAGCTCCACAGCTAAATGAGAAAAATTTTCACTATCAAAAAATTCTCGTGGACAGTTCTGCACAACCTGTGGGAAAAAATATGTTAACCTGAAATATCATGTCTTCAAAAAACTGGACTAACCAGCAAATAGGTCACTAGATTAATATGCTAGTAAAGATTTTTTTTTTTTTTTGGCCACTGTATATGCCAGTAAAGAACAAATCATGTTTTCCCATGAATTTTGTTATTTAAATGCACTATGGATTGATTAAAATCATTCATGGACTTCTGCTTAAATGCTTAAGCTTTTGAGATGAAGTGATCCTTGACAGGCTTTTATTCAACAGCAAGACAAAAGAGGAGATACTATAAAATGAAGAAAGATATATAATTGAGGTTCAACAAAAACAGTCAAATGTCTACCTGTGACAAAACAGATATTGCAAGACTATTCCATGAACTATCCAAATAGGTGGAATATGAAAGAATCTGCACGAATTAAACATAACAAAGAAAGTGAGAATATGGATTTATCCAAAAGGTAGAGAATTATCAAGAGTGCACAAGCAGTTGACTTGCAGTGATTTATTGATGTAGAGCATAGATAAGACATAAGACATGATTTTTCCCTTTTACAGGTAAATATTTAGCATTGAACCCTAAAAAAAAGGGAAAAATAATTTTATGCAAGAGAATTTATAAGATTCAGGTTGCCCAAATTTCTATGATACCCATATGGCTCCATAACAAGATAACTGTTTCAAATGCATATTAAAAGCACATATGGAAGGGGAACTAAAGAAGTGATATCAACTTGCTCTACCGTACCAAGAATCTATATGTTGCATTCAACAGACAACATACTTGTCAACCATCTCGCAGTTTTTTAAGTTCAAGAATATATAAAGTTAACCTAGGCTCAAGCATTCCCCAAGCCTAAAGAGTTGATGAATTCAATAGACGAAGAACAATCTATTTATATGTCCAAACAAAATTATTAAACAAGCAAATAAAAATATCATATAAGGTAACGATATAACATCTTCAAGGGGTTCAATAGCAAGGACCTTAACTCTCAGACATCACAGAACCCAGTATGAAATAAAATGTGGCAGCGGGACAATGAGATTCCTTCACACCCATGATTTTATTTAAGTTAGAACGAAAAGACTTGAAAGGATAACCACCTGCAACAGTTCTCTGCAGATATCCATGGTAAGGAATCCCCCTCTAGAAAATCTCTCAGCTAAGAGAAACTGAAAAACCAGCAAAACAATTTCATATAACTTCATCCCAGAAGGATTCTCTTCATGAGTTGGTAAGTCTGGCCCATGGTTAAATTTAACAGAAGCCAGCCGTATAATTGGCCTGGAAAGGGAAGTATCTTTTGACTGGAACAGACTTAGAAGAGAAAACCCCCACAGGAACTGGAAATCTTCCCTGGTCAATTCAACCATACTATATTCAGATGCAGATATACTTTTTTGGGTGGTTTCATGTGAGGCTTCGGTGCACTCAGTCCCTTCAAAGCCCACAGGAACTGCATCAAGTGCGAGTGCTTGCAATATTACAGGCCAAGATTCTTCCAAGCATGGCTGCAACTTTGAAGAAGCAACAGGTGATTGGAGTCCTTCAAGGAACAGATTCCACTGGGGAAAAAACAAAAGCCCAGCTAGAATGAGAATGCAACCATGTAGAAATTAGCAGTTCCACAGTATTCTAGGCTTCATCTCCACAATAAAAAGTGGAATAAAGGAAATCTATCAAGTTCATATTCAGTCTCACCTTTCTTTTCGGACTCAAGCACAAGCATATATAACTATAGTCCTTCAACGTACGAATCCAATACTTCCCCAGAATACTTGAGCTGTTCTGGAATAACGGTAATAATGCCAGGTATTCTTCCGGAATTACATCTCCATGCTTCCTCATTGATGCATATATATAACATTTGAGTGAAGCATGCGCAGCCAGAAGTCTTACTTTAATCTAAAACAAGATTTTTGTTCCAAAAAGGGGTAAGATATCAAACTATCTAAAACAAAACAAATTGGAAAAAGATATACTGTATGGCCTTGATACAGTTTAAAAAGTGCACAAGAGATAGGAGTCAACATACCTTGCTTGTAACCCATTCTGCAAATGAAGGATAATAAATGTTCTCAAAGTCATGCAGTGGGCGAGAAATTAATGAAAATAAGCGCTTGACCACTGCTTGATCTCCACTAATTATTCCACTTGTCAATATCTGAAGTTTTTGCATATTGTAATGTTAATCGTATGAGTTTAACTTAAAGTGCATGTTTGTGAATCTCCCAAAAGTACTTTTGGATCCGACAAAAGTAACTCAAGCTACTCTTGAGAGGTCTAAAGTTACTTTTAGGATGTCAAAAGTACATGTATTTGAGAGTGGATGCCCAGGGTTACAAAATTAATGAAAAATGAACCATGAAAATTTAGACCTTCGTAGCCAAGTGCAAGCCTGCCTCCAGCAAACTAGGACTAGAGAATGTGTCCAAGGTAGTACGAACTGCAGAAACTAGTTGGGCCTATATACAGCACAGCTTCATTTAATTTAAGTGATGCAAGAAGTTAAAAATCATCAAGATCATAAACACTAATCATAAGTCCCTATGAAGTCTTCTCAGGAATACAAGCATGCAGGAATTAAAGCATACTTAGTTAAACACGGAAGAAAGGAGAGATCTTTAGTTCTACCATGGAACTGGGCTAGAGAGGGGCGGGGATTCAAAGGCTTATGATCATATACCTGATACTGTTCCAGCAGAAGATGTCCAGGAAGCTCAGGGTCTGCAACTTTTTCAAACTGTTGTTCAAAATTCACAAATGGCACATTAACAAGAAGACTTTGGCCAGTTGGGATATTATAATGATAGAAAAAAGCTTATCAGAAAAAAATAATAACAATAATTATGTTCCAGCATGATCTTCATACAACTAACTGCTTGAACATTTTTATTTATTTATTTATTTTTGAAATAAAGCTAGCCAAGCTTGTTAGCACATGGCCAACCAGATAGTTTGTTTTTCCACTTATGCATTGATCACACTTGTTCCAATTACACTCATTAGGCTACACGCAAGCACACCCTCATCGTCAAAGATCCCATTTTTAATTTTAGTTTTATTGTATCTCTGTTTTCTGTTGTCTCAGCATATTTTGACCACGTGCTTAGGATTGAATAATTATACTTTTATATGTATGTTTCTTAAGTCATGAGAATTCCTATTATAGTAGCATTAATGATGCAAGTCTAGATTTCTTCGTTGTGGTATAAGGGATAATTAAAGAATAACAGCATATTAATCCTTGAAAGAAACTACTCCAGTTATCTGAAATCATAGACAAGTATCTGTTAATTGTGGTCCTCAAATTGGTATACCTCAATGCATATCGGTGATCATGTTCAGTGTTCACAAGTTTTGAAGCGAAATCACGAAATTTTAGAGATTGGCATGTGATACTCTTAAGTCCAAAAGCTCCAACTCGACAAAAGCAAACTCACTTTAATACAAACCGCAAACATCCGATACAGGCAACTTTGTACGTGGGGAAAAAAAAAAGCCAGTAAATTTAAAGGGTCTCAAAGTGAGACTTTGACATCAAAAGAGGGACAAGGGGAGCAGGAAAGTGATGAAAAAAGGCACATATAGACAAACTGGACAACCAACAGGAGGGAAAAGAGTTAAACAAAATCAAGTTTCAGACAGAAATGTTACCTTGTCCACGATGGTTCCAAGGAGACCCACACCAACAGGTTGCATGTTCTCAAACTGGATGGTGCTTATCTGATAACGGACAAATCAGAGAGGTTGCAAGAATTATTTATATTCATCTGGACCTCATCAAAATACACTAAAATTTGTGGCTTATTGAATCATCAGATTTTCTAAAATGGTTTAACTGTCAGCAAAAAAAAAAAAAAAATCATTTAATATATTTTAATAACTTTAAAAGAAGCACCTGATAAGCCAGTGATATTAACTCTTGTAAGTGTAGAACTAGCCAATCACTGGAGGCCTGAACATTCACACGTTTCCTTGCCAAGAAGAGGTCAAAATGTGCAGGATTTCTTCCTACAGCATCAGGTAGATGGCTCAAACACCTACAAGATTATTAAGGACTTAAATATGCACACAAAGCTCAGAATTTAACTCTGATTCAAAATGTAAATCCTCTAGTAACTTTGAGAACAGAACTCCTGATCCAATTTACAATATATTTACAACTACAGAATATCAAAGTATAAGAAAAGAAAGTGTGGATATTTACCGATATTATAGGAAAGAATATTTAGATATGTAAATATTATGATTTCATTGTTTGAATTCTGATTTGATTGTAATCTATCCCATGATCATCAGCCCTGTATAATCGGCCAAGATAGCTCCTCTGCTTGTATATATTTGTATACCGAGATGAATAAAACACACAACAGAATCAGAACTCTCTGTATCCTTCATGGTATCAGAGCATTCGGAGGATACATCCAATTCCTCTGTCAACACATTAGCGTCACACCCTCGGCGAAGACAACCAGACCCGATGATGTCGTCTAGCTCCGAGGACTCCTCAAACCCAAATGGGTCATCTCGACCCGGTGCAGAACTGTCGACTGTGATGATAATTCCAGAGAGACTGAACGGCAACAATTACAGGGAGTGGGCACAGTCAATGACATTGGCTCTTGACAGCAGAGACAAATTAAGCTATATCTACGGCGAGTCCAAGGCACCTCAAACTACTGACGCAAAGGCGTTGAAGGTGTGCAAGTCGGAGAATGCGTTGGTCTCCTCATGGCTTGTGAATACGATGACTCCTACGATGAAGAAGGCGTTCATGATTCTCCCCTCTGCCCGTGACATTTGGGAGGCCGTGCGAGAAGCTTATGATGGCGCCAGAAGTGCTACAGAAATATTCGATATCAAAGCAAAGCTTTGGCAGGTCAAACAAGAATCTCATTCCTTAAATAAGTACTATCTTGAAAAAACGACTCTATGGCAGGAATTGGATTCATTAACCAATAAAGTCCACCATTGTTCCGCTGACGCTGCTGAAGATCAAAAGGAAAAAGAAACAAAACGACTATTCAAATTGTTGGTGGGCCTCAACCCAATCTATGATGATATGCGAGCTCGGATTTTTAGCCAAGACCTACTGCCTTCTGTTCGTGAGGTAGTTTCCATTCTTTGAAAGGAAGAATCTAGGCCGACGACCATGCTGAAAGAAGAATCTCATGCCCCAGAATCCTCTGCGCTTGCTGTGCATTCAAGTGAAAATCGTAATAGCAAAGGTCATCCAACATGTGATCATTGCAAAAAGCAGGGGCATACTAAAGATACTTGCTAGGATCTCCATGAGAAGCCAGCAAATTGGAAACCAAGAAAGGGGCGAGGCCGTGGCTATGTTGCTGGAAAATATGAAGAAACTGTTGCTTCAAGCAGTTCAGTACCTCAGGACGATCGCTTGGGACAAATAATGGAGATGCTTACTGAACTAAAGAATGACCAGCCACCATGTAAGCAACCCATTGCCACCGTTGTCAAACGAGGTAACTTTAAACAGGCCTTAGCATCTATTAAAAGTAAGTGTTCTGGCAACTGTTAGATCATTGATTCAAGGGCATCTGATCATATGACTGACGATCGAGCTTTATTCACATCCTATAAGCCTATAATTGAAAAACTTACAGTTAAAATAGCTGATGATTCTGATTCTACTGTAATTGGAATTAGTACTATTAAAGTTTCCGCTACAATGACTCTCCACTCTACTTTACACGTACCAAACCTTAAATGTAACCTGCTCTCTGTAAGTCAACTAGCTAAAGAGGAACGATGCCATGTTGATTTTTTCTCTGATCATTGTGTATTTCAGGATTTGCTGACAGGGACGACAATTGGTAGTGCGAATGAGTTTGATGGTCTCTATTACCTAGAAGACAGCAAAGAAAGTCGTGTTCAGTCTTGTAATAAAGTGTCTCTCCCTAGGACTAGTGATTTGGAGTTATGGCACAAACGGTTAGGTCATCCCAATTTTAATTACATGTCTCAAATGTTTCCTTCCATTTGTTCAAATAAAAGTACTTCTGAATTCTATTGTGATTCTTGTGAAAAAGCCAAACATCACCGGACTTCTTTCCCTCACGTCCCTTAGAAGGAATCAAAACCCTTTGCGACCATTCACAGTGACGTATGGGGTCCTTCACGAAATTCAAACAGAACAAAATCAAAATGGTTTATCACATTCATAGACGATCACACGAGTTAGTTGGGTTTACCTAATGAAAGAAAAAACTGAAGTTCCAAAGCTTTTTATCAATTTTTACAACATGATCCAAATTCAGTTCCACAAAAAAATCCAAATCCTTCATACAGATAATGGAACCGAATATTTCAATAATACCTTATCCAACTTTCTCAATACTCATGGTATTCTCCACAAAAGCATCTGTCCCAGCACTCCTCAACAAAATGGCATTGCTGAGAGGAAAAACCGTCATATTCTTGAAACTGCACGAGCTATCATGTTTAGCAGCCATGTTCCAAAATTTTACTGGGATGATGCTGTTCTTACTGCTACCTTTCTTATAAACCACATGCCCAGCAAACCATTGTCCTATAAAACCCCTCGCCAAGTCCTACACCAATACTATAACCTTCCATACCTTGAGAACACTTTGCCTCTCAAAATCTTTGATTGCACCTCCTATGTTCACCTACCTCACACTGATAAACTTGATCCTAAAGCCATTCGATGTGTCTTCCTTGGGTACTCAGCCACTCAAAAAAGGTATAAATGCTATGATCCCACCACAAAACGGCTGTATATCACCTGTGATGTCATCTTCCATGAAAACCAACCGTATTACTCAAAGGCTGAAATTCAAGGGGAGAATGAGCTAGAATTCCAGACCTATGACCCTCTTGATAATGACAAAATTATCCTACCCGAACCTGAAAGCCTACCTGAGAACACCCTTCCTATACCTGAAACCATTGTTCACGAATCTGAAACTGTTCCACCTGACCCAGAACTAACTGAACCTAATCCACTATCTGAACCTATACCTGAAACTATCGGTGACACAAAACAGGTGCCTAGTGGAAAAGAGAAGTCTATCCCGGGGGAGACACAAATCAGCAAGTAAAGGTCTATACACGAGTCCACCAAGGATAGGTAATGAACCGCAGACTCCAAGTATCTGCCTAGAGTCAAACCCGGTGGCAAATCCAGAGGAGCAACAAGGTGTAACAGAAGAGAATCTTGATCTTGATCTTCCAATTGCAGTAAGAAAGAAGCCCAGAACTTGCTCTCAACATCCTATAGAGAAGTTTGTGTTATATAAAGCTCTCTCATCGAGATACCATGCCTTTATATCCCACCTTGACAATATAAAAGTACCACATGACATTGATGAAGCCTTAGCCATACCTGAGTGGAGACAGGCCGTTATGGATGAAATGGAAGCGCTTAGAAGAAATGGTACCTGGGAAATTGTTGATCTTCCTAAAGGAAAGAAACCAGTTAGCTATAAGTGGGTGTTTACCCCAAAGTATAAAGCTGATGGTAGTCTAGAGAAATATAAAGTTAGGTTAGTTGCAAAGGGATTCTCTCATATCTATGGCATGGATTATACAAAAACTTTTGCCCCAATTGCAAAACTCAATATAATCAAGGTGATACTTTCTTTGGCAGCCAACTTGGATTGGCCCTTACATCAGCTAGATGTGAAGAATGTTTTTCTTAACGGGGAACTCAAGAAAAAGGTGTACATGAAACTGCCTCCAGGGTTTCCAGGAACAAACTCAAGACAAGTTTGTAAGTTGAAACGATCATTGTACGACCTCAAACAGTCACCGCAAGCATGGTTTGACAGATTCACTCGAGTCCTACAGAAGCAAGGCTATACTCAAGGGCAGAGTGATCATACTATGTTCTTTAAGCATCAAGGGGACAAGATAACAGTCCTTATAGTGTATGTTGATGACATAGTTCTCACAGGAGATGATGTTGCAGAAATAGAATGTATCAAAGCAAACTTGGCTCGTGAATTTCATATAAAAGATCTTGGTGAGATGAAATACTTCCTTGGTATAGAGGTGGCACGATCAAGGAGAGGAATCTATATTTCACAGCGAAAATACATTCTGGATCTCCTAAAAGATACAGGTATGTTGGGATGTAGACCAAGTGACACCTCGATACGAGCAGACAAAATTGATGACGAAGGAGATCTTGGTAAGAGTGTAGATATGGGGCGCTATCAACGTATAGTGGGAAAACTTATCTATCTTTCCCATACTCGACTTGACATTGCCTTTGCAGTGAGTGTGCTGAGCCAACACTCCCATAATCATAAACAGAAACACCTTAACGAGGTCTATAGGATCCTCAGGTATCTAAAGGGGTCTCCAGGGCATGGACTGCTATTTAAAAATTGTGATAGGCAAACTGTGGAGATATTCACAGATGCGGATTGGGCTGGGGACCAAGATGACAAAAAATCCACTTTAGGGTATTGCATCTATGTTTGGGGCAATCGCGTAACTTGGGGAAGCAAGAAACAGAGTGTAGTTGCCAGAAGCAGTGCAAAAGCAGAATTCAGAGCTATAGCTCTTGGTATATGTGAAGGTATATGGCTGAAAAGGGTTCTTGAAGAATTGAAGAAGAACCTGGGTTTACCAATCAAGCTTTACTCAGATAAGGTGGCTGCCATTAATATATCACATAACCCAGTTCAACATGATCGAACTAAACATGTGGAAGTAGACAGGCACTTCATAAGGGAAAAGATTGATACTGGCATTATTTGCCTGAACTACATTCCTTCAAAGGAACAGACAATAGACATTCTCACTAAGGGATTGCCGAGAGATCAATTTGAGCATTTAATTGGCAAGTTGGACATGACAAATATTTATGGTCCAACTTAAGGGGGAGTGTGGGTATTTACCGATATTATAGGAAAGAATATTTAGATATGTAAATATTATGATTTCATTGTTTGAATTCTGATTTGATTATAATCTATCCCATGATCTTCGGCCTTGTATAATCAGCCAAGATAGCTCCTCTGCTTGTATATATTTGTATACCGAGATGAATAAAACACACAACAAAATCGGAACTCTCCGTGTCCTTCAGAAAGGATCACCAAAAGGGGTTAAAAAAAAAAAAAAGGTTGATGTAAGATTTTGAAAATGAGATAAGTTCATGTAATTTCACAATAAGTTTATGTAATTTCACTATACATACATATACACACACACACACATATATTAAGCAATGCATACTCTGCCGCAAAAAGTCTGGTCCGATATCTGAGGTGCCTCTCTCTATTAGCAGTGCCAATGGAAGCTTCAAATTTGTAACCCTGGTTACCACTGGAGCTAGAAACCATATTTTCATCATCCCCAAAGTTCAACCTTGTATCAGCATCTGAGTTGTCATTTCCTGCCTTATTGCTATTTTCAGTGTTTCTAATTGATGTTGCAAGGACCTGTGAAACGCCATTAAATCAACATAAATTTCAAAAGCTAAATATTGTTTTCCGCATCCTTCCATTTCAAAACATTTCATCTGCACTTTTATTCTTTAAAGGAGCTATAAAAGTTCCTTATGACAGTCATCATAGGAAGTTAGGAACGGCCTAGAATAAACATAGAACACCCATGGTTTTGCACACTAAAACATATTTTTGAGACAGAGCTTACCACTTTGCGAAATATTGATATCCAATGAGACGGAGACGAAGGGCAGGATACATAGAGTAATCGCATAATTGTTGTCTGTACCAGGTTACCGATTCTGTGTAGACAGAGGAGGAAAAATGTTATGTAAAAACCACATATCAACTATTGTTCGCCAAAGCCACGCCAAAGCCAACTTTTAATGATTGCTTAAAGAGTATTGAAAATTCACTCTACCATATTATTTCATATGATGTGGGTACAATATATAGAGTCTCATACTACCGGTTACAATCAATCAGTAATAAATGAAAGATATTGCAATATCACAAGTAATCAGGAATTCATTGTCTAGCTAGAATCATGGGTAAATCATGGAGAGAATAAAGGGAGAGAATCAGGGAGAGAATCAAGGGCTTCTAACACTCCCCCTCAAGCTGGAGAGTAGATGTCAACCATTCCCAGCTTGTTTCGAAGCCCTTCAAACTTGACTCTGGCTAACGGTTTGGTCATGATCAGCAATCTGATCAGTTGAACGCACATAGTTCAAGTTAATGATGCCATTCTCGACCTTTTCTTTGATGAAGTGCCGATCAATGTCAACATGCTTTGTTCGGTCGTGATACACAGGATTTTTGGTCATTTCAATGCTGGCTTGATTGTCACACCAGAGATTCATAGGTCCTTCATAGGAGATTCTCAATTCCTTCAGAAGTCTAATCACCCACATTCCTTCACATACCCCCAGGGCTACAGCTCTTAGCTCAGCCTCAGCACTGCTTCTTGAGACTACTGTCTGTTTCTTGCTTCGCCAAGTGACTAAGTTTCCCAAACATAAGTACAGTATCCTGTGACAGATCTTCTGTTATCCACAGCTCTCCCATGATCTGCATCAGTGTAGACCTCGATGCTCCTTGTACTCCCCTTTTTAAAGAATAGTCCTCTTCCAGGGTTGAGTTTGAGGTAGGTGAGGATTCTGTATACTGCTTCCATGTGTTCTTCCTGGGGTTGATGCATAAATTGGCTTACCACTCCAACTGCATAACTAATGTCAGGCCTTGTATGAGTCAAGTAGATTAGTTTGCCCACAAGTCTTCTGTACCTTTCTGAGTTAACTGGTGTCCCTTTTGGTTTCACTTCCAGATTGCATGACTCTTCCATAGGAGTCTCACTAGGTTTAGCCCCAAGTATTCCTGTTTCGTGGAGTAAGTCCAGTGTGTACTTTCGTTGAGACACACTTATACCCTTTTTGGATCTAGCAACCTCCATTCCAAGAAAGTACTTCATTTGGCCTAGATCCTTCACTTGGAATTCCCTAGCCAGGGCCTTCTTGAGGTGGGAGATAGAAACCTCATCACTGCCAGTTATGACTATATCATCCACATACACAATTAGGATCGTTACCTTTCCATCACTGTGTTTGACGAAAAGAGTGTGATCAGCTTGTCCTTGAATGTAGCCAAACCTTTTGATCGCTTTGGCAAACCTGTCGAACCATGCTCGTGGAGATTGTTTCAGGCCATATAATGATTTCTTCAATTTGCAAACTGAGTTGGGCGGAGCTATTACTCCATCTGGAATTTCCATGTACACTTCCTCCTCCAAATCTCCATTTAGGAAAGCATTCTTCACATCTAGTTGATGTAGGGGCCAATCAAGGTTGGCAGCTAGGGACAGGAGTACCTGGATGGTGTTGAATTTTGCCACAGGAGCAAACGTTTCTTGATAATCAATCCCATAGGTTTGGGTGTACCCTTTGGCAACTAATCTTCCTTTGTACTTGTTGATGCTGCCATCAGGATTGAATTTAGGGGTGAAGATCCACCTGCAACCCACTGCTTTCTTGCCTTTAGGAAGTGTGGTGATATCCCACGTGTTATTCTCCTTCAAGGCTCTCAACTCCTCATATGCAGCATGTTTCCAATTAGGATCTGTTACAGCCTGTTGAAATGTTTCTGGAATTTTCACCTGTGAGCTATTCACTACAAAAGTTTGCATTCTCGCAGATAAATTGCCATAGGAGACAAATTTTTGAATAGGATGTTGAGTACACGATCTTACCCCCTTTCTAAGTGCAATAGGCCATCCCAGTTCTTCAGGATCCAACTCCGGATTGGAATCATGTTGCTGCCTTGGAATGGAAGGAACCCTACTACTACTGTCCTGTTCACCTGATTGAGGACTTGAGTGCTCTGTCACCCCTGCATCAATTTCAGCATTGGTTTCCATTGGGTGAGGGATGTTTGTGGAGTTTTGGTGTTCTGGAGAAGGTGTAGTAGTAGGGGTTTTTGGTTCCGTTTCCGGTTCAGGGATGTTGTCTTGAGGCGGTATGGTTATAGGTTCGGATGTAATTAGCCATTCTACTCCATAGTGCTCCCCCTGAATGGGTAATTTGGGATAGTAAGCATCATCCTCATAAAAGACTGTGTCTTTGGAGATTATAAGTTTTCTGGTGGTGGGACAATAACACTTGTACCCCTTTTTGGTGGAGGAATACCCGAGGAAAATGCATTTTTCTGCTCTAGCACCTAGTTTGCCTCCATCATGTTTATGGACAAAGACGACACACCCAAAGACCTTTTGAGGGATGGTATTGATGATAGGTGAAGTGGGGTAAGTCTCGAGGAGCTTTTGAATAGGGGTACTAAAGTGGAGAATTTTAGAGGCCATGCGGTTGATAAGATAGGCTGCGGTTAGTACAGCATCTCCCCAAAACAGATTTGGAACATTTCTTTCCATCATAATAGCTCGGGTCACTTCCAAAAGGTGTCTATTCTTTCGCTCAGCAACTCCATTTTGTTGAGGAGTATAAACACATGAGGTTTGGTGATGGATTCCCTCCTGCTCAAGAAATTCCCTAAAGGCTCCACTCACATACTCTTTGGCATTGTCACTTCTCAGGACTTTGATGGTAGTTTGGAATTGGGTTCTCACAAACGAGTAAAAGTTTTTGAAAATTTGTAGGGCTTCGGATTTCTCTTTCATAAGGTAAACCCATGTGACCCGGGTGTGATCATCTATGAATGTGATAAACCACTTTGTGCCTGTTCGGGTGTTGGTTTTGGCTGGTCCCCAAATGTCGGTATGGATCATTGTGAACGGGGTAGAAGGTTTGTAAGTATGTTTGGGATAAGAGGCGCGAGTTTGTTTAGCAATTTGACACGTTTCACATTGGAAAGGAGAAGAATTTTTATTGAATAAAGTTGGAAACACATGCTTCATATAATCAAAGCTGGGGTGGCCTAATCTTTGATGCCACAACATTACATTTTTATTCTGAGAGTTGGAGCTAACCATAGCTTTCTTTGCTCCTGCTGTCTTCATATCCTTTCCTTCAAAGTAGTAGAGTCCATCCCATTCTTTAGCAGTCAAAATCTTCCTCCCCGAGGTCGAATCCTGAAAAACACATTTAACATCATCAAATATCACCCGACATGCTTTCCCTTTAGTTAATTTGCTCACAGAAATAAGATTGCAAGTAAGAGCAGGGACAAACAAAACATTATGGATTTCCAGATCTTCAGATAGAGCCACACTGCCAACACCCTCAACTTTAGTATACAGTCCAGTTGCCACTTTTACTCTAAGGTTCTCATGGCAATATTTGAGGGTTTTGAAGAAGGACTTATTACCAGTCATGTGATCTGTAGCACCGGAGTCAACAATCCAAGTCTCATCACTAGTTATCATTGCATTGAGGGCTATAATGGAATTACCTGACTGTATCAAGTTCACGTTGGGAACAGATTTTGATTTGTTTTGTTTTTCAAGTATCTTACGAAGCATTTGAAGCTCTTCTCTGGTCAATTGGTCTCCATCATCACCTTTTTCTTCAGAGGAGGTGTGGTGGCTCCTTCTATCTTCCCGTTGTTTCTGTTTCCCTTGAGTTGGTTTCCCATGTAGTTTCCAGCATTCATCTCTGGTGTGGCCTCTCTTGTTACAGTGGTTGCACCACTTGTTCCCTTTCTTCTCAGGGCCCTCTGATGTCTGGAACCCCCTCGTCACCAATGCCGAGCCCTCTGCTGCGGTCAGGCTACCTTGAGTGAGGTGTCTTCGGCTTTCTTCGAACTTAACCATACTGAAGACTTCAAATAGGGATGGCAGCGGCTTCAGTCCCATAATTCTCCCTCTCACTTCTTCAAAAACATCATTCAGGCCCAACAGAAAGTCATATGTTCGTCCTCTTTCCACCAATTGTCTGTAGTAATTAGCATCATCCATATCCTTCCAAGGATGTACTTCAAAGAGGTCCAATTGCTGCCATATCTTTGTCAACGTACTGTAGTATTGAGTCACAGTTAAGTTGCCTTGTTTCAGATCTTTGAGCTGCCTCTTTAGATCTAATAAGGCTGCAGTGTTATCGAGGGTAGAGTAGGTCCGCTTAGCAGCATCCCAGATTTCCTTGGCTGTACTTGCAAGAAGGTATCCTTCACTGATTTCGAGAGTCATTGAATTGCACAACCAAGACATCACCTGATTATTTTCAGCGAACCAGGTATCAAATTTGGGATCATTATGCGAAGGTTGTGTTGCTTCTCCATTGATATACTTCTCCTTACGCTTCCCACGCAGATACATTAATACACTTTGAGACCATTGGAGATAATTGCTTCCATTAACTTTGTGGGCTACCCCCATAGCTTGAGGTTCAGCGGCTACTGTCAGATCTGAAGAAGGAGTAACCATCGGTGAAGAAGGAGTAGCTTGAGTATTTGAAGATGTACCGGACATGAGAACCCTTGGAATATTGCGAACAGACCCAAAAAGTGGTGGGAATTCTGGGTTATCCATCTTCTGGGTCTCTGGGAGGTACTGGAGGTCTCTGGCGGCGGCGCGTGGGCGGCACGCGCTGGTACAGTGGCGGGGCGTGGCGGCGCGTGGGATTCACGCGCGGAGCTTGTAACGGCGCGTGAGGGTCACGCGCAGTTCCGTTGGACGTCGGCTTCTAGGGACGCCGGTGAGGCCTGGAGGGGTGGTGTCGTCCACGGACCACTTCTGGTTCCAGTTTTGAGGACGCCTCACTCACTCTCTCTCTCTCTCCTCGCCGTCTCTCTCTCTCTGGCTCACGGCAGACTCTCCAGGACCCTTTCCAAGCTCACACGCTTTGATACCATGCTTAAAGAGTATTGAAAATTCACTCTACCATATTATTTCATATGATGTGGGTACAATATATAGAGTCTCATACTACCGGTTACAATCAATCAGTAATAAATGAAAGATATTGCAATATCACAAGTAATCAGGAATTCATTGTCTAGCTAGAATCATGGGTAAATCATGGAGAGAATAAAGGGAGAGAATCAGGGAGAGAATCAAGGGCTTCTAACAATGATAATGAACAATTAGGCCCTAGATGGAAAGTGCAATGCCAAAATATTACTCGGGCCCAACATTAATTAAAATCAACAAACCAAAATAAGAAACTATATTACAGATAAATTACAATGATTCCATACTGCAAGGTTTTTGTCCACACAATTACCTTTTATAGCCTCTCCTATTAATTAAAGGAGTTATATCTTTTAATTCAAATGATAGGCTGCTCTCCCTTTTATGATCAGAAACCCATTAACCCTAAATTTTTACAACTTTTGAGAATATCTTATATTCCTTTCCATAGTATTCCTTTATATTTCTTTATTAAAACGTTTTATTGCAAGGAAAGGGACAAAAATTAAATCAAAGCCATTAACCAAAAAAAAAAAAGTGAAAATATTAGAATAAAAACGTGGTTCAAATATACACAAGAGCAAGTAAAAAGTGAAAGGCGAACAATTTTTCTCTACGTACTCAGAGTCAGTTTCTTCATCCAGCATAATGAACAAGTTATCCTCAATATGCTCAACGATAACGGAATCCTGTAAAAATTAACAACTTGAAGGATGAAGATTTTATATGGTAATCTTTCTAAATCAGAAATATTTATAAGATGGGCAACATACTGGATCTTTCTCAATAAGATGTCTTAGAGTGGAGATAGCAAGATGCCGTAATGTTGGCTGCATCAAGAAAGCACAAGTAAGGAAATCTATACATATATTATAAAGGAACATGAATATGGCATTTTTTTGGGGGGAAAACCTGTCTTGATGACAAGGTAGAGAGAAGAGTTTGCACATGGGAGTGCACAGAAACAGCCTGTGGGGCAAAAAGAACAAGTTGCTGTGTAAAGCGTGCACTCCTGAAAGAGAGAAAACAAACCTCCTATAATCATCAATAAATATTTAACAAAAGAAAACAGCACTCTAAAAGCAGAACACTAGATCATGTGAAAAGAATAGGAGTGTGGGAATAGATGGAATTGAACATACTCAAGCATAGTTGCAGTTTCTTGCCGGCAGCTTATCTCTGCGACAGCAGACTGAAAAGAGAAACATGGAGGGAAGCATATGTAAAATTTAAATCAAATAACAGGACAAAGTTTGCACGACTAATACTATTTGTAGATTTGAGTCAAAAAATGCCACACAGTGTAACACCCAATTTTTACTGCCCTTGCGTTAATCATGGGCAATTTAAGTTAAGTTGTGATTATTGCGGGTGGTATGAGGTTTAGGAATGAGTTTGTGACTTGCTTGAGAGAGTGAAATTGGAAGGATTTAAGGAATGCCCACTGATTTTCTGATGCCATTGTGTTAAGTGTGACAACACTAGAGAAGGAGGAAAAATGACTCTAGTGATATAACACCAGTATCATCCCCAGAACTCAACTATGTGTAATGTTGTAATGTACTTAGAAACTTTCAAGCATGCGTGGCATTAGAACTCGTTTGTATCTTGGTTTGGAACTTTTCAAGGATGCTTGTGAATATGAAAAATTGTTTGTACTTTGAAGCTTTTTGAGCATACTTGTGAACGAAATTTTATTGGGACTGTACTAGACACATTGTTAAAGTTCTTTGATCTTTCAAGTATGCTTGCATGTGATTCTTGCATCATATTGTGATACACTCGAAGTTGAGGTTAGATGGATGGAGTTGATGGTTAGAATATCATTATACCTACATATCTCTTGTACTTCACCGCCACGTGGTACGCCATGATTCTGCACATAGTGAATGGCACCTAGAGGGCCCCATTCCCTCTGCTTTCTTTTGGCTAGGATTATAATGCAACGTGGGACATCTGGACACCTCTTAGGTTTGTCCTTTAAAGAGGGGAGCCATAGCCCAATCTTGAGCTCTATACCCTTGGCTAGATATATTCCTTGAACTAGGGAAGCTCTGGCCCAAGCCAATGAATAGGGTGATTCCCTATTGGTTTATGTGTATGCTTGTGGCTCCATTTGGTTGTATAAGGTTGGAGAGGAGTCATAAGGGATGTCAGGACTTAGCCTCACATTTGCATGCCTCTATGTATGCATTGTGATTTGTGGAATACTTTGTAAACTAGGTTTTGGAACAGGCCTCTTAAATTCTAGTGAAATGATTGCAAAATGTCATGTATGTTTTGAGAAACTGATTTGAGAAATGATGTGCTATCAACAATTTGGAATGGTTTTCGAAAGAATTTGCAAATGTATGATTGAATGTGTAATTGTTACTGAAACATTAGATCTCACATGTAACCTTTTACTATTTTCAAGTGAGAGCTTGAGTAGGAAATGGGGGAAGGCACAAAAGGACCAAGCTTGCTGGCTCTAGCTTCTCTCTTGTTGGTGTTACCCATGCCTGATTATGTTGTCTTTTAGTTGCCATGGCCTAGGATTTCTACTTCAAACTTGTACTTTTGGGAAATTGATTTAACTTAAGATGTCTTTTGACTATTCTGAGACTTAAAGGATATATTAGTAACGAAGCTGACTACTGAGATATTTATTGGGCTAAGCCCTTATTACGGAGTTTCTTGATGTGATGGATGAATGAAAGGATATTTTAGCAATGTGATTATTACTGAAATGTTGGGGTGAGCCCATTTCTATCCGATTTCCTATCCGGTGGAATGTATGCAATCTGCTAAATTATTTTGTAAATGTATGCCTGGGCTTGTGGATTGTCTATGTATGACTTGGGCCTCAAAGCGCCCTAAACCCAATTGTATATGTTTGGGATCCCAATGGTTATCCCCATGTTTTTGCAAAATGTTTTTAGCATAGAGGTTGAATGGAAACAGGGGTGACACACGGCAGACTTCCACAAGTGTGTTCTATCACAAAAGAAAGTACCTTGCAGCGTGAAAAAAAGATGCTGCCTGGTGCAAGTTCCGGACCAAGTACAGCAACAATAGCATTTATAAGGCGGGCAACTCCTTGCCGAATGTCAACTAATCCACTTTCATCAGATAGAAGAATGTCCATAGCAAGGCCAAGGGTTGCCTGTGAAAACAATCAGAAAGAACCGCCTAAGGATATGCACGTTTTAGCAGAATAATCAGAATATGTTCTTTAATTTGAATTCTTTTTACTAACGTAAAAGGGAACAAGAGATTGGAGAAACAGGATCACGAAACTAATAAAAAAGCGAAAACAATAGTAAAGAACTAAACGGAACACATGAATCAATAGAGTGAGGCCTCAGTGCAAGAGTAACATTGGTTAATTAATGATTTTTTGAAAGAACCACTCTTCACGTTTCAACTAGTCAATCAAACATTATCAGTTTTATTTGTAACATTAAATGATAAATATACTGATCACAAGATTCTGGCATCTAAATTTGAATACCTGGACATGAGAAACATAGGACAAGCCAGCAGCTTCAATAGTCAAAAGAAGCCCATGCATAGACCAGATTTGTAGATTAGCAACTGAACTTTTAGCCAGTGAAGAGATAGAGCTCACTGTAGCAGGCACTAAAGTTGACAGTGCAATCCCTCCTGCACTGCAGTCAAGATATATAAGATGAAAATTGTTATGAAATATATGGGGATATGAGATAGAGATCAACTTAAGAGTTAGGATTGTGTACTTGTTTTAGAAATATAGAGATGGACACCAATATATAAGCTTAAAGTTGATAAAGATGAGAATATGCTTCAGAATAAGGAACATTTCCACACCAAAATCTTCATAAAGTCCTATTTTTCAGCCGTTGGAAATTTTCCAGCTATTTATAGCTAGTTTGTAAAACTTCCAGATTTCAACCATTGACTTTATGATTAAGACCTATGCTCAAGATTACAAACAAGTTTTTTATTGATTAAATTCTACCAGTGATTCGAAAGAAAAGGAAGATAACTAAGGGGATAGAATTTCATGTGTGTTTAAAGAAATAAAAAAAACTGCTCAAATAAACTTTTTGTATAGACATCAAAATCATCAACTGGTACTGCAATAAAGAACCTGTGATGAATGCAGCCAAGTGCAAAAGCAATTGATCCAGCATAGTTGGAATCAGTGGCTACATTCAGGTCTCCAAGTAGTGATCGAGTCTGCTTGCCACCATGAAAAAGGAGGGGAAAAAAAAACACAATTACAACAGTTTTCAGCCATGAAAAAAATATCACCATCCAAGTTTGTTCGATAAATCAAGTTAGAAGGAATTAATACATTAAGAGAAACTATCATAATGAGAGTTACTTCGTTAGGAAAAGTTAGTTTAGAAAGAATCAGTTAAGTTTGTACAAAATACCACAAGGAAGCATGACTTTGCAAAAATGGAGCTTGAACAAAAAGACTGAAAAGTGAAAACCTTACCATTCTTGCAGTGAAAACATCATTTCCAAGTCGAGCTAAATAACCAAGGCCTTCTGCCGATGCTCTACGCTGGGATGCACAGATGTCTCCCTCCACCAATATACCCTTAAATTGAAATTGGACAGAGATAAAAGTTAAATGCAACAAAAGGCAAAAACAAAGAAAATCATCTTAACAAATATTTTAACCAGCTGAAGATAAATTTATCAATAAATTGTTACCTCAAGAATAGATTGTGCCAATCCCAGAATCTCCTGTCCTAACGTTTGTGGCCTTGAAAGTAAGGACTAGGAAAACAAAATCATTGTATCAGGTCATGTTTTAAGTTCAACAACCTACTAAGATAATGCCAAAAGAGCAATCAATAGCACCTTGAAGCCTGCAAGTAACCCCACGCAGACATTGGTGACACTTGCAGCATGCCAGTGCTGTTTTTTTCCAGCTTTCAAACACTGATCAATAATTTCAAGAAGCGAGAGCATGCCACCACTATTCTGACATAGGAAGTACCAAATAATGTAAACAACAATAACACTGTTTGCTCAATTCCTCTACAACATGCCAAGGCTGACTCATTCACTGTATGTACCTGAGAAGCAAACATAGTACCAAAGAAGAGAAGCATTTGATTCACCAAAGTCTTGCTTATTGTCTCCGGCTTCAAGGTTAAAAGTCAAGTCAGTAATGAATAACCACATGCCAAAAAAGGTACCAAAACAGCAAAGAAAAAGCTACCTGAAACAAACAGGATAAAATAAATCTCCGATCATTTTCAGCACTAAAGATATGTTTTAACTAACTGGTTATGATTATATAAATATTTGCAAAAAGACCCAAATCAACTTCTCAGGATATTAAATGTAATTCTAATTGAGCCTAAACATTTATGCATTATTGGGCTTATAATCATTTTCAGGTCAACGTGCTCAGATCTGCAGGTGAATGGTGAGTTTGTAGCCCTCTGATTTGGAGCCGCTACTCATGGCATGTTTTGAAGGTATTAGGCTGGACCAAGAGCTTGAAGATTTTATGAAAGTGTAGTTTAAGCAGTAATCTAGTACAATTTGTTTGGTTGGAGAGGAACACATACTTTCAGTGACATCTTTGTCCTTATCTCTGTCTTTAATAGAAGGGAAGAGAAGGGAAATTCAAACAGACATGGTCAAGCAGTCCTCTCAAAAGAAAGAATAAAATGAAGAGGAAGATACAACAACGAATTGTCAAGGACATAAAAGAGTAATACCTGAGGAAAGCCAGAAAGTTCATTCTCCCAAACACAGGGCATAAGGCCATCTTTCCCACCTTGAAAAGCACGAAGCTCATCCTCAAACCAATCCCTAATATATGATTAAAGAACAAGATAACTCAGTGATACTAAGACAGCCACCTGCTAATAACAATTGTATTATTGAGGCACCTCTACTGAGGTTTAGAGAAATCAAATCTTGTCTTACATAAAACAATTACACCAATTAATTTAGCTTTTTCTACAATGTTAGTCTTCCCTCTTTTGATTGTCGTCATGGAGAGGAAATCAATAATATCATTGCATTTTATTCTTGTAGTTACACCCTAATACATGAACATTGACGGTCCTTGCACAAAAATGATAGATCATTCACATTGGTGCCTTGATGGTGGCCAAGGAGTTGCCCCTAGCCATTGGTGGTCGCAGTGAACTGATGACCAACTCTGATGCTCCAGGATGCAGTGAGAAAAAGGAGGAAATAAACAAGACATATAGTGTACAGCAAATATAAGTTGAAGTTCTTATCCTCAGTTGAATCAAACAAACAAGAGAGCGAAAGGTTTTACAGATTTAAGCAGTGCCTTTTAATGTGCTCTTCTTGTTACTTCAGAAACATAAGAGGTATTACTAGTTTGAGTAGGTTAAAAATTAGAGGCATAAGTTCAAAAGTATTCTAAATGGCTTGAAAGGATACATTAATAAGGACTGAAATAATATAATTTGAATGAAAATAGAAGGCATGAAAAGGTCATCTCATTTGATAGAAGGTTATAATTAAGTAATAAACTATTTAACAGAGAAGCAATAGCAGCAGTCAGATACAGAACTGAGCTGCAAAAAATCTGGTCCCTTTGTTGGACAGCAGCAGGGCACAAGGCCTCTAAAACTTTAACATTATAAATCCAGAACCAAACCACTATCATGGGTTGCTAAACTGCTTGCTTGGCTTTTTTTCAATTCCCAAAAAGCCAAGCCCAACAAATTTCTTTGTAAAACAAAGCACACCAAGTTATCATCTCAATTCCAGAAAATCAAGTTAACCTCAGTAGAAAGCCATTGAAATTGATGCTAAGACATTTTTATAAAGAGATCCAACGGTGATGAAATGAGGAGACTGCAGCGTAGCTCATTTACTTATAAAAAGGAATTTCTCATTTTGTGAACAAGATAGGAGGTCCCTTCATGTTTTAGCTAACCTCAAAGGCAGTTCTTTTAAATTAACAAAGTAAACACAAAGTACGTAGAATGTACAATCATAGAACAGCCAGTTAGAGACCTTCCAGGAATCCATGGGCCCAACCAAGCATCTCTCTTGTCCAACAGCAACCTCAAGCAAGAACTCTCTTCACATCCTGAGGCATACCTTATTTAAAGAAGCAATAGCAAACATTCAAGTCAGCGCATGGTAGTTTTGTTTTTGTTTCTTTCTTTCTTTTTTTTTGGGGGGGGGGGTGTTGAAGAAAGTATAGAACACTGTAGTTATTGTTTTTTGTTCAAATATGAATAGGAATACAAGAAAGTATAGAACTGTAATGAAAAAAATCTTAAAAGAAAACAAATAATTTGACATAAAACTACATAAGAAAAGCCAAATAATGTAACTGATTTATGAAGGAGAGTTGTGCTATCTATTTGCGGTCAGAAATATAGTAAGAAGACAACAACAAACTTATCTCACTAAGCGAAGTCAGCTATAGCCAATCCCTCAAAAAGAATATTCAACCCCAGAAAACAAAATCAAATGTAAGATAAATGCAAAGAAAATACTACCTGAATGGAGTTGTGCATAGTTGAATAATTTGTGGGTGGTCATTTTTATATGACCCAGGATCAGGAAGAGATTGGTAGGCTATTAATATCCTGATGGTAAAAATGTCCAATGCTGGCTTTACATTAGGCAGTTCCTTGGCTCTTAAAAATATTACAAATGATAATGCCCTGTGTATAACATGTTCCAAAAATTATAACCTAAGGTCAACAAGAAGTTACAATTTAAAAAAAGAAAGGAAAAAGAACAAGATGTTGCACAATGATAGATTTTAACATCAAAAGCAGGAGACAATAATCTTAAACAAACATACCTACTGAGGTATACAAGAATTGGTTGGAGTAATACTCCGCCGTTTGCAAAATTACCAGACAAAAAGCATCTTATAAATGCTGTGAGAGCATCAACAGCTGCAGACCAGACACTGCAAAATGCAAAAAGAGAAAAACGAAGGTCCATGAAAGTTATTTAAGAAATATCCATTTTGAAAAAATAGAATTCTTATTATCAACTTTGATTTTCCTTCGAAAACCCTGATGATAAAGAAACTCAGAAGACTGAGTGTCTTTTTGTTTTCTTGGTTATATTGTTATCCTTGAAGCTAGAATGATTTAAAGTTAATAGTACAGGTGCAGTTTGGTAAAGGTAGAAATTAAGCGAAGAAAAAACGTATGAGAATTCTTGGCATCCTCTGACATAGTGTGATTCTTAATGAATTGGAGTTCATCAGAATGGTAGAGAATTGGTCCATTAAATTATAAAGTCCACTGGCAAAGTATATTGCTTCGTAACATTAAGGGGTGTCCCATATCAATATAAAGGGGAAATGAAAGGCTCTACATTCAAAAAACTAAAATAAAATTTATGGTCCTAAACATTAAATTTGTCTGTGTGGCCCCGATCAGAATGTTCTGACATCCATTAGCAAAGAATATTACCTCAACATTAAAATACCAGGAGACTAATTGTTTCAAATACAAACTGGGCCCTAAAAACTATCAAATGAAGGGGCAACACAGAAGATCACAATGAGGATTTTATGACCTATAAAAATAAATCATACTTACAGAAATACTTACTTTATTCTTGACATTAAATCCCCAGTTTGCCGAACTTCATTTTCTGGATTCCCAGTAAAAAGGGTAGCCCATAAGGAAAGAATATCAAAGACTTCCTCTTCAAGCTCCTGCAAGGAGCAAGGGTTGAAAGACCCCATAATATGCAACTTATCAGGAAAGTTCGAGTCACTTACACAGATTCACATGCTAAGTAGCTGCCATGTTTCATTTTCACAAATCTTGTGATTTTATATGCACAACGATTTGCTCTTTTATTAGAGAAACCATAAATCTGAAACATGCATTGGAAAAACTTCACAGCCATTTTAGCTTGCTTTTTATTGCATAATATGTGATTTAGTTTGGGACATTATCAATTGAACTTTCTTGTTCTCTGAGATTGCTCAAAACTGTTTACAACATATCTTATAGTTATGGAGCTTAGAAACATTGTTTGTTTTTCACCCATAAAAAACAAACAGGAAATTATCACAATTTCTATTCAGCAGGCACTCGTTCATACAGCATCATGCACTGAAATGCTAAACTGGGTAATACTATAAAGTCTTCTCGTCGAGCCACAATCCATATAAACATTGAGTTTTTGGAGTAACTGATAATAACTCAGGTTCGTCTAGTCCAGTTTTTTAATGTTCAATCTTCAAAATCCCCTAGACATGTGACACTAGCAGATGGATCTACTGCCACTCTCAGTTGCGATAGAACAGCACAACCCACTCCAGAATAAAGAATTAGTTTCTTAAGTGAAAAAAAGACAAATTTGCATATGTACCCTGATTTTTTACTTATCCCTGTTCCGATGCCCTTCTAACAGGATACGGACTATGGGCTCCTCTAGTATGTACCCTTGCGAATCTCAATTCATTTCCTTACCTCAACAAAAACTAAAGATGATCTCCTTTTATGTCAGTCCCATTCAAAAGCTCAAAAATTGAGTCTCTTAGTTGGACAATATTCAACAGATTTAATATTATGATTTGTTGCCAATTTGAAGATCTAAGAACACCTCCCCATATATTTGCACCATCAAAATTTGAAAATGCAACATACTTGTTCATATCTTTCATTGCAGCCAGCTTTAGGGCCCATATAAGAAGAAGAACAAAAAAAAGGAAGGACAAGAGAGGAAAAGATTCTTTCCCCAACTTTTCCTCTCCTCCCGGACAGACCCTTGGGGTCTGGACTTATATTCTCTCAAGGCAGACCTGTAGGCCCCACATATTAGGCAGGACTAACCAAAACCTCTTTTTCAAACGAGTACAACTCTCTCTTTGCCATTGCCATGGATCTGTTGCTCAGTTCATGGATTTTTACTTGGAACTTCCTTATTAGACATGCAGAGGGATTGAATGGCGATGTGTTTTTCCTCTATTAGTGTTGAGGAAGATGGACAATAAACGTAAAACTCAACCTACGTTTTATAGCCAAACCTAAGCCTAGATAAAGGAGGAAAATTGTGTTAGACCCTTAACAGTCAACCTTTGACGAATCTCATATGGACATGGACAATAGTGTTGAGGAAGAGGCCTTCAACTCATTATACATGCCAGTAAGGTTCCATTGATAAATTTATTTTTCATCATAATAGAACTTTTATTTGATTTTGAAGTAGATATTTTAAAAAGCTCTAAACCCGATAAGTCCTCTTTCCATTCAAAATAAATTATTGTTCGACAACAAATAGTACAGATACCATATACCTCCTTCGTTAAAGAAGACAATAAAGATGATAAAAGCAACCACCCAGCTTCTTTTTCAACCATGGCTGCCACAGGATTTCGACTGTGTTCAGTCAACATTCTCTTTGAAACACCAAGCACTGATCTAGGCAACCTGCTTAAAACAAGGGGATGCTTATTAATACAGCATAACAAGGACAATCATTCTGTCACTAACTAGTATGCTGACCATAGTGAAAGTCAGACTGCAAAAAAGTAGGAATGGCACCACAATGCTAAAAATCCACAGAGCAATTGGTTCAGTCAACAAAGTTTAGACAAAAGAGATCTCAAGTAACCTAAGTTGAAACATCCATTACGTCCTTCCACGAAGAGAACATTGTGTGGCAGTACTAATAAAATATAAAGCATGCAAAAATGCTAGAAACTATGCTATTAAATAGAAAACACCACCGCCACAAGGTGATCAAGTCCCTAGATCTGTTATGAGAGTGCTGCTTTTTAAGCTGTTCAGCATCTTGAAATCTGAATGAATGATACTAATAGGAAAAAGGATACAAGCAGAAGGACAGATCATTTTGAAATCACTTCGAAATCTCAGCTTATCTAGCTTCAAATAAAACAGAAAAGACAGTACAGGAGAGCAGAACAAGTTACCTAGCAGGGTAACCTAGAGGTAATTTTGGTGAAATAGTTACCAAAGCTGCCAAGACAGAAGCCTGCCCATGCAAAGAATCCAGCTCAAACTGCAAACTGCCTCCCTGCAGACAATGTATCAAAACTAATTGATATGGTCAAGCTGCATGCCATGCTGAAGGTCTCTCTCTCTCTATCTGACTTCCAATAAAGTCAAAATTCAACTAAAGTATTTGCAGATAAATACAGATTGCTGATTAGATGGACTACAGTGATTAGCTGACAAGTTTATGAGCATGTAGCAACAGCTTGTATTTGCCTCAACAGCTATGGCATTCAAAAACTAAGACAACATTTGGCATATTTTATATCATTCGGCACAAATGGCCAACTACCAGCTGACAGGATAACTGTTGATAACATCCACTTAATAACCTTTTTATGGGAAAAGAAAGTTTTATTGAAGAGGAAGGTGTGAAATGTAAAACAGAGGACAAAACATCCTTCTCAAACAAAAGGACCACCTGATAAGCTAATACATTATGAAAGTAATCACACTATTAATCAAAATCGTTCACACATTATCACATGCATTCAATCCTTATTAAGACTAATAGGGATACAACTAAACTCCTACACAGAGTTAACAGCCTAAAAGATTGCTAATTTTTTTTTTTTTGGGTAACAGAATGCTAATTCTAATTAACAACATAATAAACTACATGATCAAATCAAATGAATGCAAAATAAAATATATTATTAAAATAATTTACTTTTACCTTTTCAAAAGATAAAGAGTTCTAATTTAAACTACGTAATGAAATCACGTGCATGCAAAATAAAATATATTATAAATTACTTTTACCTTTTCAAAAGATAAACTTTCCCTTGAAGCAGTGAGAGTGGTAACCCCGTATGAAGTTAGCCCACCAACACAAGTTGGATCAACTTCAGCCAATGCACGTAGTGTCAAAGCAGCCTCTACCCGAACCTAACCATATATTTCAAACATATATTACAACAAACACGGAACAAAAGCTTAAACACAAGAATACTGCAATGACACCACCTTGAGGGAAATTAAAGGTAAATAGAGTGTAACAATTTCAACTATAACTTTCTTGATAGAAGAAAACTTATTGAAATCAGAAGGACACAGAGAAATAGCCAGGATTCCTACAGAAACTGATTACTCATGAATATAGAAAAGCCTTAGTGCCAAAACCCCATGGAGTTGAAGTTATCTATCAAGTAACAGGTCATGCCAAAAGCTTCCACCAAAAAAATCCATTAGACTAATAACATCAACAAAGCGGAGGCCCATCACTACCATGTGCTTATTTTATATAAAAGAAAACGAGGCAATGAGTATCAAAACTCTTGCCTTCTTGATCACAATGTGTCTAATACCATGTAAACGAGAGAGTCATCATTAAAGCTTCAGCTGTACTAATGGGCCAAAAACTATATATCTCAGTAGACCATCTTAGTGTGCTTGTGTATTTCCCATGATTTTCACCTTTACTCCCTCAACTTGTGAACAACTTAAGGACTTTTAGGTCCCTCCTACAATACCAAATGATTATTAAAAGCCACTAATTACTCTATAATAGGGGAAACCAACCCTCAAAATGGCATACAAAATATGTCAAATTTCAAACACCTCAAAATTGGTAACAGATCCACCAGCAACTGTAGGGTATGCAGTCATACAAGTGTGACAACTAACAAGTGTCCCCTTTTCGTTAGGAGAATAAATAAATAATTTTGTCAGACAAAATTTTTTGTATGAAAAAAATTTCAACAGAAATAAAAGCCTGAAACTTCATTCTAAAAGCAAAAAACAAAAACGAAAACGAAAAACAAAAAACGAAAGTGTGCCATTGGTCATCTAACTTTATCGAAGGTTTCAGTTTGGTCCCTTAATTTTAAAAAGTATCTTTTTAGTCCTCTAAACCTAACATTGTTAGTCTCAAAAGATGTTTTTTTTTTTTGCATCAATCATTGTTATTTAGAAAAACAAACTTAACATGTAAATATTTGAAAAATGTTTTGTCAACATTTACAATTTTAATATCAATATTTTTTTGTTAATGAAAATAATAGTATTAGGGTTACCAGACTGAAAAGACACTTTACAGAATTAAGGAACTAAAAAGAAACCTTGTATGAAGTTAGAGGACTAAAGATGCACTATTGCCAACAAAAATAACATAACATTTTTAAAAATGAAAACATAAGTTTGAGGACCACTGGCACTGAACCACAAAAATGATTTCAAAATTTCGGGATTCTTTACAATAAATCAGACATTGGACTCAATTAAAATTTTTGTCCTCACACAAACATGGAACAGCACTCCCTGCAAGGGATCCATTCCCCGCCAAATCAGTGTAAACATACATTTTCCTTGAAGTATTTGATGAACTTATGGCCTGCTTCTCTGTCACAGCCCCCCTCCCTCCCCACAACAAGTAACATGAAAGATTATGTTTAAAAACATAACAAATACATAATACACAAGAAACAAGCATAGGAATATTTAAAAACTTATTATTTATTACTCTCTCCAGTCCTAAATATAAGAGCTATTTATGGGACTTTGGTCCTAAATATAATATATCAGTCCACTTTATCACTCAAATTTATAATTTTTTCCCTAAATTATCAATATTAATTGCAAATATTAAAGGAATTTTCATCAAAGGAAAGTTCCAACACAAATGATTAAATAGGGTATTTTAGGGAAGCCAACGCATATTTTTTAACAAACTTAAGTAATTTTCTTAATATCTGCAAATTAGTTATTTGGCTTTTATATTAGGGAATAGAGCTAGTACTATATAAAAGAAATAAAAGGCTCACTAGCTTCGATGAATCAGACACTGCTGCAACTACAGTGTTGTCAAGAACTTCCTTAAATTCCAGTGGGACCTGCAAATTAACAAGAATTAAGTTACAGTCCACCTCACACAAAACTAGAAATATCCATCGCATACGCCCCTGCTTTATAGTAATAGGAACATCCCATTTAAAATACTTTTCTCATACAAACATATAGTTATGCATACCTCTCCCAGTGTTTTTAGAGTATATGACAGAGTACGTAATGCAGCCACCTTCACAGAAGCACCCGCCTCTAGGGATTGAAGCTGCGAGTTGCCAGAAAGCGAAGTAGAACATTTTATACACATATCTTTAAGAAGGCATCAAAACTGAAATACAGTGACTAATGATTTAAATTAAGTAACTTCAGCGCACCTTCATCCCTAGAAAAACCAAAAAGTTCCGTTGAGTAGGTTCTGTCATTTGATCTGTTAAACCAACACGAAGGATATAAAGAACACAAGCCTGCAGTTGCAACAAGTGATGCATGATCAGAACTAAAACCTGCCAAAGCCTCTGATAAAAGTGACAGATATGACAGGTTTTGACAAGACCCTTCCTGTTAAACTCTATCTGGAATTTTAACAAGAGGGCATTGCTCCTGACGAGATATATGTGACAGATGTGACAGATTTTGTATAAGCATATGATGCCAAAGTGAGTCTATTCATGTTTGTCTAGCACTCATGATACGAACATTACACAGAAAGTTAAGGTTTAGAATCGAGTTCAATTTAGTGCATGACGAATGGAAAACCAAACACACTCATAATCTCACAAGTAAAGGAACCAACCATTCCACATGCCAAAACAAACTAGCACTAAAGCTATGCCTACAGTTAACAGATCAACTTCAGGAAGTAAAAAATAATCTATCCATCTGCAGGAAAGAAAAAGATAAGTACTTGGCTGGATAAAGTGGAATTTTTAAGAAAAAATAATAATAGGCAAAATGGCTCTAAATTCGTTGACAGTGAAGGGTTAAAACAAACCTAAATAATAAAACATGGTACGTATACATGTATATATGCTGAATTTTCCTGAGGAGGCGAAAGGATCATTCTCTCCAATAAAACAATAAATGAAAAGATGCAAAAGTTAAATAAAAAGAACAGTGAAAATATCAACAAAGCAGGATGTAACGTCTTTTTTTTTTTGGCCTCTATCCTTTATCTTTAATATATTTTCGTGGAACATAAATATTTGCCCAAGAAAAGTTGGCTCTGATACCACTTGATGATGAAAGGGAAATGAAATAGGAAATATAGGAGAATATGGAGAGAATGAAGAATTAACAACTGTATGAACCATCATGAATCTGTTTCATCTCTCAGTGCAGCTATATAAGAATTATTTAACCACTAACTAACTCCCCTGACAGCAAGTCATCAAGAAGCCTGTTATTTACAATCTAACACTTTTTTTTGGGCTACCTGCAATCTAACAGACTTAACTAATTCAGTTACCAACTATTTCTACCCAACATAATCTAGCATCCACTGGATGCCATTGGAAAAAAGGTAACATCAAAAATATTATTGAGAATCATCCATCACATGAATAGAGTATCCCATCCATAAAAGACCACAGGCCACCTATAACAAGGGTGAGCCATCAATTCAGGCCCTCAACGAAACACCAAGAGCTGATGTCTGAATAAATGGGTAATATCTTGTACCCTGCCTATTTTTTCTCCCCTCTCCTCTAATAGAACAATCTTCTTACATCTGTGTATACACAGAGGTAAAGCAAATCCAATCAAGCCCTCAATGAAAGGCCTATAATTAATCTGCTCTGGCTAAACCAGCAAAGCATGAACTTTACTCTATCTCAGTGTTTCAGTACACTTCTTTATTACTAAAATCATCCCCCTTTATCGACTTGTAAAATAGGGTAAAACACTGCCAATCCAGGACTAAATTTTCACTTTACTTGCATATGCTAAAGAAAGCCAAAGAGCAAAGTATAACTTGCATGGAGATTTGACTAGGGGTTTTAAGAAAAAGAGGGAGAAATATATTTCGAGCAACTACCAGTGCATTAGCATCAACTGAGGCATCAGCATCAAGCATTTCCATAACTTGTGATGCAAAGTTTTGAAGCTCACTATCTGGATATAGGTATTTTATACGTATGGCCTGCAAAAGAGAATTAACTAAGAATGAAAATCAAAAGCAAAGCAAACACATCTATCACAGATTCCTCGGCTTAAAAACTGATCGCAAAGTCAAAAGAGTGATGGAAAAATCACAAATACGCAAGCACACATGTTCAATCTCCACCCCAAAGAACATTTTGCTAAACAAAAAATGAATACAATACCAATAACAATAAGTCATGGTGTTTTCACCGGAAAGGGGGAAAAAAGTTAAGTTGTGGTGCAAAGATAAATATAAAACAGCAGCTTGCATACACTATAGGACCCTCTAGTTTTTTGAGTCCATACTGTCCTTCAATGTATAAAAATGCACGCAATTAAATCTTTCAATCTTAGTTCTGTTCAAGTGAAGACCAAGATGATGTTTTGGTTCAAGTAGTATCTCCCTTGGCCTTAGTCAAAATTTCACTCTGTTCCCTCCCTCACAGAGATATCTTTCTTTTATTATAAGTAAAGCAGCAAACAACTAATATTCATCTGCAACAGATAGCCCCATCAACAAGAGGAGGGAGTTCAAAAGAAAGAGAGAACAAGAGAAGATTCAATAGAAGTCTCAAAATTCACCTGTAAAAAGAATACCCAAGATAGTGTGAGTCCAACCCGAACATTTCTGCATGTACTCCACTTGCTGCAACACAACTAGTGAATGTCAGAACTAACAAAGACTAAAAGGAAATGAGATGGCTGTATTATTATAACGAATCCCAATCAAAAATGGAGGGGAAAAGAAGGTATTTCATCCTGAGAAATGCACATCTTTTATCGCATATGAACATTGTAATGACATGCATAACCATCAACAGAAGCAATTAAACGAATAAGAAAACAACCATAAAAATTCATTAGCCCTCACATCACGAGAAGCAAAAGCTTGAGTTTATCATGGATACAAGGTGCCATTGCATGGCATAGTCCCATCTTGTACTCCCTAGACGTAAAGATAGAAATCCCAGCGGTTATGCCATAGTAAAACACTTGCAACCAGAACGTTCTGTGTGATCACCAGTGCTTCAGTAGAAAGACCCGGCATTAAAGTGGTTTCCCTTTATGTGCACTCACAAAAAGCAGCAATACAAGAAGTCGGCACATATTAAAGGCGGAACTGTTGAAGATATTATTAAACCAATCCTGAGGAATCACCAACTAACACAAGCTTTCGGAATAAATTGGTCCATGACATGGTATGAGGGCTTCTAGGACCAAATAGTCAAGAGTTCAATCCTTTCTACCCTCATTCTCTTAATTGAATTATTAATGTCAGCACAAAGTACAGTGGGCCAATACTTCATCCATGCTTCTAGACCAAAGTGCTCTCATATGAAGGGGAAGAAGTGTTAAAGATATTAATAATATTAATAATCTTGAGTCTTTTGGGATCAATTGGTCCTTGACGAGTAACCAGAAAAAAGAAATATTATCAAGCAAAATTGTGGCGACCCAGTCAAGAATATACCTTTTCTGAAAGCTAAAATTAAATGCTTCTGCAGTCCACCTTCTAATTTTTTTGCTGGAGGGGAAGGACCCTTTCCTCTTGGCTGGACCTACTCAGATGCAGACAGAAGTAAAGAAAGTTGTTTGATCAAGGAAAAAACAGAGAGAACTAGTGTGTTCAAACCTGTGCCTCAGGATTCATTCCAAGAGCAAGCAAGGAACCTAAAGCCTCAGAAAACGCATCCCGGACAGATGACACAGGATCCTCAAGGGCCTATTAGAAGCAGCGCCACAAAGATATAAAAATAGAGATTTAGACTCAAAGAGGCCACATTACACTTATGAAAATGAAATTGAGAACAGGAACACATGCCTTGACACAATAAGAGGCTGAATTGTCAAGCTCAGCCACCCCTAATCCTGGACCTCCAATGTTCGCAAACGCATTCAAACATCTGGCAGCAGCTATTCTCACAGCAAATGACTTATCTCCCATTGCAGATCGCGCAATGATACGGTATGCCTCTGCATATGCTGATGAAGCAGCATTACCACCAGAGCCTTCCAAAGCATTCTGAAGCATATGTAAAGCTTCAAGTCTCACAAACTCCTGAAATTTAAGGGACAAAGGAGATTCATACAAGTGGAAGGATGGCCAAAACTATGATAGAGGTGTTTACATCAGAGCACAAATTTTAAATCAAGCCTAATATAACAATTTGAACAGCATCTCCACACACAAAGCCAATTTGAGCTTCAAATAATTGTGTTCCCCAATAAAAGAAAGCGGCAAAAAGCTATTAGGTTGTTTGCCTCCTTTTCATATAAAATAAAGCCACATTAATTAACCACATATGCATAAATCAGTACATAAACTGTAAAAGCAGAAATACCAATCTAGAATTGAAAATAAATTATTACAAGAGAGAGACTAAAATCTTCTCAAGTCTAGAAACTAAAGAAAATATGTTCCAAAGGCCACAGCATGAAGTTACACAACTTTTTTTTCCAAATACTAGTAGGGTTTGAATTGTTGACCACTACACATACCCCACCTTTATCGCCTATGCCAGCCCAAGTAGTCACAGTTGTATATTTTAATAAAGGTATTTTTACCACTGCTGGAGGAAAAAACCTATATGTCCCACCTAAAAAGATACAACCTACTAGAAATGTTCCAAATCTCAAGGCAGTATAGATGACTAACTATCAAAATGCCGCATGAAGCAAACATCAAGTGAATGAGCCCTATAAATCTTCAGTCTTAAGTCATGATCATTAGCCAGCTAAAGCTTAACTCAATAGAAACCTTATGGAAAAAGAAGATAGATGGGATTAAGAACTTGAGCTCAAATGTTAGAAATATGGACAGAATCAAGCACCTAAACAAGGAAAAATATATCATCAGTCTTAGACCATTTGAAACCCTCCCCACTGAAAAGCATATTTTTTTACTGAGGTTTTCGTCTACAGGTATCATGATGATGGAAGGGAATTAAAGAATGAAGTTATGACCATTTGAAGTTATATGGAGAAGGAAAATGGATTCAAAGAAACTGAAGAATACTTATTTAACTGTAGAATCAATTTTCTTGGACAGAAGAAAACAAAATTCATAAATCAAGAACAAGATTGAAAAGGGGCCATTTTTTCTCTTCCTTATGCTTATATGCCCTTTCATTTTCTGCAGTATAAGATTTCAAGTTGAACAGCAGAGATGCCAGCTAAAAGGAAATACCTCATTAAATTTTAAAAGTTTGGATGCTATGATTGTGGTTTCTAGTAAACCTGAAGTTATCCGTCTGCCAAAATGCTTATACAATTCTCCCAAGCATTGTGCAGCACCTACAGAATCATATTCAGAAAAATTGTAAGGAACAGACACAGACATAATTTAAATGCAAACGACAACAAGAGGATTAATAAACTATAAAAGTATGTAGCATGAGATGTACGTAAGAGAATCATAGCAAGTAATGTTAAAAGTGGAAATTTGAGGTTTTGACCAATTCCATGGATTACTTTTAGGAAATGATAGCTTAAATATGGCATATTAAATAAGCCTAACTTGTTTGTACTCTCAGTTTATCTCTCTTCTTGTTGATAGAGACCAGAAGTCTACCCAAGCTCTAATTTCAAAAAGTGTAACATCTAACTTCGTTTAATGTTTTTCTTCAAATTTTTAGTCATAAGTGAATTAGGAACTTTCTCCTAGTCGTAAAATGTGGAATAATTAGTACTTTTCTTTCTGCTAGTGTTTCATATTTGCCTCACTCTGCAGGCAACTTTGAAAAATTAAGTAAATCTTTAAAAAAAAAATAATAATAATAATAATAAGCCAAGTTAAGGCTTGGTTTAAAGCTCTAGATATCCTCTACTAATTTATAACCTATACTTTCTAATATATCAATAGATATTAATAAATTAATTGATTAGCATCACCCTAATTTCCTTAAGTAAATTGATTAGTATCACCCTAATTTCCTTATGTAAATGCAGACTGACAGTGAACGGAAACATACATCTATGAGTCAAACTGGAAAGAAAAAATAATACTAAACAAGCAATACATAAAACGAAAAAAGTAAGAAATGTAGAATCCTAGAGTCAAAGCGAAAGCCTCTAGAAATCCAACCTGAGTAAATCAGCAGGCACCTATTACGGTTTTCCTCTAGTTTGACCTTTTTTTAAAAAAAATGTAAAGCACCATCTGAACTTAACCATTTAAACTAATGAATCCTGAACCTCAAGAATTAAGTTAAATGTGTGAAAATTGTCATTCACGCTAGACAATCACCGTAAACGGATGCCAAGATTGGAAGTTAAAAAGACAACTGCCAGCTTTCTCATCAGAATTAAACAAATATCCATATGAATAGATAATTACCGGAAAATATCCAAAAGTCATATTTAAATTTTAGACCATAAAACTTTATTTGGAAATGAAAGTATTCCTAGTAAATGAATGATAATACAGAGTTGAAAGCATACAGAAGCACCACATACATGTCAAAAACTCTACAGCACCCTTCTTGCCCCAATTAGAAAGATTAGCTAGCTCTTGTATGATCACAACAAAAACTGACAAGAACACCTAGCCAACTCAATGAAAAGTAAGCTTGACATTATGCATGGGCACCCCCACTTACTCAGTAGAGAAATTGAGGGTCCTTTTGGTATAAAGGAAGGAATTTCCCAACAATATGTATCATATCTTATAATCATTAGTCATCAGCTTCTACCCCTTTAGCATGAAGATCAGTTTTCGCCTTCAAAGTCATTTTTCCACTGAATTTTTCGTTTTATTCCAATATGTGCCAAACAAACCCTAAGGGGGCAAAATAGAACAAATGGGTGATAATAATCACGTAACTTAGAATATGAACAACTTGTACAATTCATAGAAATATGATGCAGCTGCAAGCTTTATCGTATAATCGCCGATAATAATGTTCCTTTGCAATCAGAAATGCAGTGAGACATTATGGAGGAGAATCACATTGGGGGGGAAACTTGTTAGCTTTTATATAGTCATTTATATATGTCAAATGAGTCAATCATGAATAATTCAGCACTTCAGTAGCTATCTAAAAGCTCTGGAATTCTTTGGCTTTGACAAACCAGCAACTCTCTGAGGTTCACTTCTTTTCCCATCAGAAAGAAACCCCTGAAGACTACTTGCTCTAGAGTAAATTGATATCCCATCTCCCTTTGATATAATCTTTGCCATTGCTACTGATGCCAAATGACGCACTGGCCGACGTGCACCTATAACAAGAAGGGAATATAGCGCATCCTCGCATCTCCTTTGCCACAACAAAATGGAGTCCTGAAAATAAGTTGTTTCAGCATCAGAAGTCAACAAGACCACTAGACTGTCGACTTTGGATTTTAAATATATAAGAATAAGAGGTTAGATATGAAATTCTAGTAAGATCGTGAATACTCAGAATTCTAGTAACTGCAAAATCAAACGATCAAGAATGAACCGCCCTCTCCCGGGGCTAATATAAGTACTTCACGAATGCGCATATTCTCATCAACTAAGGAGAGCTTTATCAACGTTACATAGTCCTTCAGATTTTTTCCGTTCTATACCATAAAAAACAATCAGGCAAGGTGCAAACTGTCTATCCGATATGACGCGGCTAAAGGTAAGACTTCCTCACAGGTAACAAAAAAGCAAATGGTAGAAAAGGAAAAGAAAAATGTATCAAGGTAAGTCGCCTGATTAATGGATAGTCAAAAAAATTCGAAATATATCTTCCAAGACCAGCACATTACTGCTTTGAAAGTAATAGTAAGAACTGAGCAAAATCACAATACAGTAACTGATTTTAAGGACTCAAAGTGATCCTAGTTTGAGACAGAGGAAGCAGAGTAACGGAATATATAGTATGAGAGATCTGAGAAAGTGTCCCGGGCAGTGGTAAGTGAGGAGATAGCCGAATCACCTTGGTGCCTTCGTCAATGGCGGAGATGAGATCGGATAGCAGATCGAAGCAAAGGAGCGGGTCTGGAGATTGCTGAGCTGCAGAGGCCACAATGGATTCCAGTTGAGCTGCCAGAACGCCGAAGCGCGAGAGTGGCACGTTGTCTCTAATTAAATTCTTCGCCATTGAAGAAGCCATGGCTGGGAATAACCCAGCAGAACAAGAAGAAGAAGAAGAATTAACGAGGATGACAGTGATCAAGTTAACTTCGTTGCAGAGAAGACATGGCCCGAAAACGGGAACTGAATATTGTAAACACTATTGCGATTCGCAGCAAAGAGGCTATTTATATTTCAATACTCCCTCACAAAAAATTCGAACTTTTGCTAGAAGATGGGGTGAAACCGTGAAAACGGTAAGTAGAAACTGGAAACTGGAAACAAGCGCGTTTCGATGCTGTGCTGATTTTCATTTCATCCTTGTTTAACAAATTACCGGAGTTGTCCTGAACAGGTTTTCGACCAAGGCGGAACCCAGACTTACTGGGTGATTCAATGCTAATTTTTAATTATTTTTAAATTTTAATGGGTGATTATTTAAAATGTTTAATTTTTAAAATAATACCAATATCTATATTTTCTGAAATAAACAAAAGTGCACTTTGGTCCTGTAAATTTATATAAGTTTCTTTTTAGTCTTTTAATTTAATAAAATAGGTTTTTACTTCTCTAAATTAGTCTCAAATAATGTTTTCATGGTAATCATTGTTATTTTAAAATATTAAAGGCAATATGTTAATATTTTGTGAATGTTGGCAAAAAAAATATTTTGTGAATATTCCGTAAGCATTTAAAATTTTGATTTTCATATTTTTTGTTAATAAAACAAATAATATTAAGATTAAAAAATGGGTTAAGGCGCGCCCAATACCCCGAACTATTTACCCATGTGCGTCCAGTGGCCTAAAGTAATTTTGGATGCATCCAGTGTCCTAAACTAATTAAAATGGTGCGTCCATATCCCAAGCTAACAGAAATGTTATATTCAACTGTTATTTTCCTGACTCAGCTTAAAGTTGACCCCAGATATTCTACATGGTAGACACATAGGCACCCGATATGTATTATTCTTACTCAAAAGTCAATAAGGAAGGAAATAAATTCAATTTTGAGTAAGAATAATACATATCAAATTCCATATGTCTACCATTTAGAATATTTAGGGTCAACTTTAAGCTGAGTCAAGAAAGTAACAGTTAAACATAACATTTCTGTTAGCTTGGGATATAGACGCACCATTTTAATTAGTTTAGGACACTGGATGCACCCAAAATTACTTTAGGCCACTGGACGCACCTGGATAAATAGTTCAGGATGCTGGGCGCACATTAGCCCTTAAAAAATTAAAGAGATAATTTATAAAATTAAAAAATTAAATTGAAATTTGTACAAAGTTAAAAATTAAAAATATATTTTCTTTACCTTAAAATATGATAATATTTAGAAAATTATAAAAATTAAATTAAATGATGGACTTTCCGGTTTTAACATAGACAAGTAAAACAGGCACTTCAGATTCAGGGTTCAGACTAGTGATTTTAATTTTGTGAGGCTCATTAACTTTGTTAAATAATTAATGTCATACAACTTTCAGCATTTGCTTATTTAGTTTGAGCTTGAAATCTCTTTTTTTTTTTTTTTGAGCAAGTTTGAGCTTGGAATCTTTGAAGTGCCTTTCTTTAATGCTATCCAATGGCAAATCAATTTTAGTAATGATGAACATCATGATATTTATCACTACAGTAAAATCTAAACTATTTAGATAAAGTTTTAATGATCTAAATTTAAAATTTTTAACTAGTGATTTTTAAATAAAAAATTTATTTTAAAAAAAACCTTACAGTTAAGATATTACATTTATTTTAAACTATATATACATGTTGAAGGGAAATATTTTAAAAAAAACAAAAATGTTAAATATTAAATCTCGACCATCTATTTTAAGTTTGAGTGATTGAGATTTTATAGGTATCAATGCTCATCATTGCGATGAGCATTGAAACTAGTTCCATCCAATACCTTTTAAAATGCCACAACTTTCAAGATGTTTTTCTTGTTTCATTTGATAGTTAAATTCTCCACGAAATGAAGCTTTTGAATTTTCTACAATTTTTCAAAGAAAAATACTCTAGAATTGTGTAGTTTTTTTTATTTAAAAAAGTCTTAAAAAATTGAAAACTATACCATTTTATTACTGTAAAACATCAAAATATCACCTTTTTTTTTATGTAAACTCTAATAATCAAAAGAAACAAGAAAAAAATTCTAAAAAGTTGGTACTCCTCTAATCCTTAATATAAGACTTATTTAACTAATTTGATTAAATTAAGAAATTTAGGTAAGTTAGTTAATTATAAGAAATATGACATATTTTTCCTGAAATACCATAATCATCTTTCTTAATGTCCCCTCCTCTCCCTCATCTACTTAATTATAGTTGAGGGAGTATCCATAGGAGTAATTTAGAAAAAACTGATAAATATGATAAATAGGTCTTATATTTAAGATCAAAATCAACTCAAAAATTAAGTTTTATATTAAAGACCGAGAAGTACATTACAAAAGGAAATATTAAAGAGAGGCACATCAAAGGCCCATGCCCATTTATTTTTGAATAGGACCACTCAGCAGGACATAAATTCTAGGGAAAATTTCAATTGAGGACTGCAGATGGGAATTAATTTCAAACAGTCCCCAAAAAATTATGAAATATCACTACAAGACCAAAGGATCAAATTGAAATTAAAATTAGGAGCAAAATTACAATAATACCCCTCATTTTTATTTTTTTAAAAAAATAAATATTAATGGTCGCAGGAGTTCCAGCCACCAACGCTCAGATGGCCGCCACCGGAGGGAGGTTGAAGCTCTAGTGGCCGGAAGATTTTTTTTTTTTAAAATAAAATGGCCAAGGAAAAATTTGAACCCATGACCTCTTAACACACAAAAAATAATGTGACAACTAAGCCAAGTAAACCATTTAGTCATGTGATACAAATAAAAATATATATAACAAAGCAAACACAAGTGTCCAAGTATAAGTGAACACGTGAAATTCGGCAATTTACAATAAAAATTTGGTAATTTACAAATAACATAATGAAATTCATAACCCCAAATACAAGTATTTAAGTGTAAATGAGCAAGTGAAATTTGAAGATTTACAAAAGTTTATGGAGTTACAATCCAAATTCGGCTATTCACAAGAAACACAAAAAAATTCACAATTCAAAATGTAAGTGTTTAAGTGTAAATGAACAAGTGAAATTTAGCGATTTACAAAATTAAAAGCTCTTAATCTCACTTTTTCAATTTTTAAAATTGAGTTTGTTGAAATTTTTCTTCCCCTCATTTTTCCTCTATTTTGCTCGTACCAAACAAACCCTTAAGTTCCAAATAAAACGTATCAATCTCTTTCACCCATATATTCTCCAGTAAATTCACAAGATGAATGTAGAGGGTGAATTTGAAAAGAGATAGACTTGGGAAAAAAAGGAGACGCAGACTCCACACCTTTATTATGGAATGTCAACTCCATGCACAAATCATATCGTCTTGTGTCACTCTCTTTCCGATTGCAGTATCTATATGCATATCTGATTTCTTTTATAAGAAAGACAATAAGGTTAATGTGCAAAATTATTCATAAAGTATTCTCTCATGTGTATTTGACACCGTAAAATTTTTATGGATATAGGGATACTTCGAAATAGAGCAAAATGTCATTTTCATCTGGCCATATTGATCACTGAATTCATCTAGAAGCCAGTATGGGGTCCCAACATGCTGAAGTTATTTGTTGATTGAAATACTCCTCCGATCCTAATTATAAGACCCAATTGACTTATTTGAGGAGATTAAGGAAGTAAATTAAGTTGGTTATTTATAATAAATAAGTATTGTCATTCCTAAAATATCCTTGCTAATTAAGTATATTGGTTAAAACTATCATTATTAGAAGGATTATCTTAGAAAAAAATGCATAAATATAAGAGACAAAATGGATTGGGGTCTTATAATTAGGACCAAATAAAAAGTCAAATGGGGTCTTATAATAAGGACCGAAGGAGTAGTACTTTTACTTCACTTTAGGAGGTGTTTGGATTTTTTCACAAATCGAGACAAATTTCTTTACATATTTATTTGGGGACTGTTTGGATGAAACCAAGCTATAGTTTGGAAAATAGCTTCTAGAAAATAGATTTTGGGGAGAATAGATTCTGTGAAGAATAGATTTTGTGAAAAAGTGATTCTGATAAAGTGAGAGTGTTTAGATAATTGTTATCAGAAACATTTTTTATATGTACAAATTACTAAAAAGGACATAAGTTAATATGATAATTACATAAAAGATAGATTTTATAATATATTTTAATTTGAAGGAATAAAATTGTTAATAATATATTTTTTACTAACATAATTAATAATATATAAGATAATGTAATTAATAAATAATTAATATGTGTATATATATTTATAAAATATAAGATTAAATATGTTTAGAGAAAAATGATTTTTTTCCGCGAACAGAAAAATAATGATTTTCTTTAAAGATTTTAAACATGAAATCCAATAACATTTTTTTCACAACTAGTTTTTGTAACAACATACTACCTTGATCTTTAATATAATTAATTAATTAATTGTTACTACATGTATATATATTTATAAAATACAAGAGTAAAAATATTTTTGGAGAAGATGAATTATTTTGTTGTGAACAGAAAATTATTAATTTGGGTGTTTTTGGTCAAAATATCCCGTTGTTCCCATTTGACTCCTAATTATCACTCCAATGACTCAGCTTTTACTCCCCAGAAGTAATAATTTTTTACTTCTCACCAAACTATGGTTTCAGCCTTCAAAATTATGGTTTTAGCTGTAACTAAGGTTTTAAAATAATTGAAGCTGTTTGGATGTCATCTTATCCAAATCATGGTTTTGGATGTCATCCAAACAAGCTCTCAGTATACAGTAAAAGTACTTTTAAAACTATGATTTTTTCTCTCTCTAAATACTCCCTATTAGTAACACTGGCGCGTAATGTTACACTCACAGAAGTTATGTGGTATGCATAAATTTGGCCCCAAAAAAAATATGCATGAAAGAATACTTTGTGAGTAGATTTGTATCTTAACTTTGAATGATGCTTTTCTGCATATCAAACATCGCATCACTTTGTGAGCTGTGACTGGAAATGATTCAAAGGCCAACAACCTCTTGGGAAATTTTTTTTATCTTTGAAGGAGGTTTCAAAGCATTGAAAGCTATTGTAGTCTGAATCTGTACACTAATTTTCTCTAAGGAATTGGATCTATTGTAACTCCAAAGGGAATTTCTATGGCAGACAAATGGGCCAACCTCACTAAAACGACTGATCTTAGCCCCTCATCACTTCCATGCAGTTTTCAGTTTTGGCTCTCCCAAATGTCAGCCATCCCAGAAGGGAAAGAATCAAATCAAAGAATAAGATGACATCATAATGCACTATGAATTATTGTGACTTGTGGACGCTAGCAAGCACAAGGGATAGATGAAGAAGATATGCTTGTTTCTAGTAAACTCAACCCTGCTTTTCCCAAAGAAACGTAACCCTCCTAACCGTGCATGCGCACTACTTCCTACCTAATTGGTCCCACACAGCTTCTTTAATTTCTCCCCTTTATTTTTTTCTCGCTCTCAGCTCAGTGCTAAAGTTGGTCAAGGATTGGGCAAAGATGCCATTGCTTCCAAACCAGGACCACTTCATCTACATCTCCATCTCTATCATCCAAGAGACTTTTCACGTGGATCTAATAATTAACTTGCCATCACTTCTATCTGTCCTCTCAACCACACAAACTAGTATAAGTATACTGATAATTAATTACGTTTATATTCATTAATATATATAAGTGTATATATATTACTCTGTACTACGTGCAGTAATAAGTATGTATATATATAAGTACTTCTAACATGTTTCACACAGACTAAGAAAAATCTTAAATTTCATTTACTCTCATTTAAAATTCAACAACTTTCTAACTTTATCCCTATTTAATATACATTATACCTCATATAAACAAAGTCAATACAATAATAAATGAAAAGTAAAATTGTCTATCTATACAAAAATTTCTCTCAGTACCCCATAAATAGAACCAAAAAAATGTATTCTCTCCCCACCTTATAAATAGGACTAGAAAAGTTTATTACATGCACGCTTTATTTTTTAATTTACTACTCCTCTACTTCTATTTATAAGTCATTTTCAACATATTTTACACAGAGAAAAAATATTAAACTTCACTAACTCTCATTTAAAATTTAACAACTTTTCAATTTTATCTCTGTTTAATATACATTATACTGTATTAGAACAACGTCAACACAATATTAAATAGAAAATAAAATTGTACATTCATATGAAAATTTTCTCTCTGCGTTCTATAAATATGACCCAAAAATTGCTTTCTCTCTGTTCTATAAATAGGACTAGAGAAGTATTAACTTACAATTTGAAATTTAAAATTTTTCACTTAAAATTTCATTCAGATCAATGTATCTTTCAATGAATAGATTTAGAAAAATTCCACTATTGAATCATTTAATTGTATGTATAGTAGAAGCATGTGATAACTTCATGCAAATCCACACAACAATATGTGACATGCTATAAATTTTGAAATTTTAACACATTCCAAAATTAATGTTAATCTTCATTTGATTCAAATTAATAAGATTTTAATTTCTTTAATATATTAGAAAAACCAATGAAACATATGCTAAAATACAATTATTAACCATGCCAGTAGCCTTGTAACCCAATTGCAAGTAAACTCCTTTACAAATAAGAGGTCGCGGTCCAAACTTATTTTGTAATCTCAGGATATTAGTATCTGCTTCTTTAATTAAAAAAACATATTTTATCAAATACTCCTATATTTAATATGGGCATATCTCATTCACTGGCCACAGGTGTTTCATATTTAATCATTTTCATTATGCTTTTAATAAAAAGTTTATAGCACTTGTAAGGAAGAGATTTGATTGACTAAACTAATATGATACTCTTGTACGGCAGGAAAACATCATTTTTTTGTGAAACTCAGGAACTCTCACCAATAATTAACCAAAGAGTTGGTCTCAGAAAACTTGAAACTCAAATCATAAGTTATACTTAATATTTTGCTTTTGTGCCTAAATTAAAGTTAAAATCACCTATTACACACGACAGTTACCAACTCCTACAACAAACACGCTAAACTCTTGTAACTAAATCTATGTGCACAAATTTTAAAGATTATTCAGAGCTATCTTCACTATTGGCTGATGAAGCTCTTGATATGATTGATCATTTCCTGGGTACGAGACTGTGAAAGATGAGAGTTAGTCAGAATCTGAAACGCATGGCCTACACCTTTGAACATCACAGTCTCCACCTTCTTCCCTGATCTAGCCAAAGCGTCAGAAAACCCCAAGTTTCTGTCTCTCATAATATCCAATTCTGATACACACACCAGAACACCAGAAACCCTCAAGTCTCTCAGCTTGGAGAAGCCATTAACAAGAGGGTTACAATAATGGTGGTCACGGTTTGCCCCGAGAGGAAGTGATAATCGCCAGTAAGTATCTGAAGCTGATAGAGAAAGAAACTGGTTTGAATATTGCTTCTCTGATATGGTTCTTTCTTCTCCTCCAAAGAAAGGCTGGATCAAGATTATACCTCTGAGAGATAAAGAGGTGTTTGATGAAATGCGTGAGGCAACATTGAAGGCTATGTTGGCTCCTGCGCTGTCACCTGCAAGATAAAGGGAAGATAGGTTGGTCTGACTAAGCCACCATTTTTGCCCACTAGAAGTGTTCAGAGATTCTTGTTTCAACCACATGACAGTGTTGAAACCGTCTTCATATGCAGAAGGAAGACGACTTTCTGGGGCTAAATGGTATTCCACAGAGAGAATGACACAGTTTGCTTTGGAAGCAACATTGGTTAAGAACTCATGGTAGCAGCTCCAAGAAGCAGAGCCAACACAGAACCCACCACCATGGAAGTAAATCAACAAAGGAATAAGCTTGGTGTTAGAGCTTGCTGGGACATATAAACGTGCCCATAGGTTGGTCTCTTTGTTGATGGAGATGTCTCTGGAAGTCACAGAACGACATGGTTGTGATGAGCAGGAGACACAAGGAACAATTGGAGGCCTTTCTACATGACCATCTCTGTGAACTCTAATGAGTCCCTGAATTTCCTCAGTGATGACTCCTTTCTGCTGGTAAGTGTTGTTAACATGTGAGTTTTGTCTGTAGGATATGGCTGCCATTGTTAGGACACTGAAAACTTGAGAAGAACTAAAATATTTAGAATTTTGGAACTCTCTTTGTGATCCCAATTTGCCAAACTAGTGCTCTGGTTTTTCCGGTTTTATAGAGAGCTCAGCAGATACTGGTAGAGTGTCAAAAGCTTCTTCAAGTTGGAAGATGCTCAGTCATGAAGAATCTTGCATGAGGTTAGAAAATCTCAGTGTACTTTTGACATTTTGAGAGTTGTACATCTTTTCTACGTGCTATAAACCATAGATATACACACTTAGTGTTTTAATCCACAGAAACTGAAGTATGAACCAATAATGGGAATCTGATGGTGATGGGGAATGAGGATAAGCTTTATTCCAATCTGATGGAGGTGAGTGTATCATACTATCATTTCGTGAAGACTTTTCTGGATTGAGCATGCGTGACAACTTAGAACTGTTACTATATGAACTCATTAAAATTGTGATGAGTTTTTTGTGACCCTTCTCTGTGATAGGCTTATCTTCATGAACCCGTACATTGACGTGATGGGCTTCATTGGCGGTGGCTTCATATTATCCTCTCACAACACTCTTTTTCCCCCTTTTGTTCTTTATCTTTTGGCGTATGCTCAATTATGTTCTCCACCTCCTACTAGATAAGGGCTTATGCACATATCATTGGTGATTTATAAATATAGTACGATTTTATGTAGATTTAATCATCAATAAATCTCTACAATAACCTAGTATGTGTTTCGTAATTTGTTGGTTTTGATCAAAACATGATTTTGACTAAAAGCTGATTTCACATATAGTATTATTTTGGTGGCTTTGATCAAAATCAACACAATACCAAACATATGCTTAGTTATTAAAATTTCTCTAACAAGGTCAATTCCAACTATCCATAAAAAAAAAAAAAGGAGACTTTTGTTATTAAAGGGAGAATTACTCTGCAAGTTCCCATAATTTGACTTGATTTTTAATTAGGTCCTTATAATTTTGTTTGTTTTTAATTAGGTTCCTATAGTTTTTGTTATCAATCTATTAAGAATTTCATTTGATTTTTAAATCAGATTCTTGTAGTCCCCCCCCCCCAATTAGCCTCCTGAAATTACAGAGACATTATTAAAATCCAATGAAAAAAATTACACAATATCGATTAAAAGCAAGTGAAATTATAAAGATTTGATAAAAAAAGAAAAAAAATTACAAGAATATGATTAAAAATCGGGTGCAATTTTACGGATTAATTTTCTCAAATGTTTAACTACTATAAGACTACCTATTGAATAGACGATGGGATAAGGTATTTAAATACCTTAAAATTATATACAAAGGATCACTTAGTACTTGAAACTTTTTTTTACTTTTAAATACCCTTGAAGTTTATTTTCACAGTAAAAGTACCCAGTTTGTTATCCGTTATTAAATCTGATCGTTAAATTATGTAGTTTGACTGATATCTTTAACAGTCAGATTTAACAACGGATAACGGTTCAGGGTAACAATACTAGGAAATAAAACTTCCAAGGCATATGAGTGTTTTAAAAAAAAATCCAAATACTAAGTACTCCTTCATGTATACTTTCAGAATATTCAATTACCTTATCCCCATAGACGATTCATAACTTATAAATAGCATAACTTCTTTTGTAAGTTTTCACATGTAGACACATGCAGCATTTGAGCCAAGATCTTCTAGATGTTAGATCTATATCATTTGTGTGAGACTTTTACTCACAGTTAAATTCTCCACTATCTAGCATACGTAGCAGCTGGCGTATACAGCAGATGTCAGAATCTATGGTGTTTAATCTCTTTTAGTGAAGATCACTACACAGAGATTTTGTGGTTCACCTGCGAATAGACCAAATCAAAATTGGAGAAAAGAAAGAACATTCCTAGCTTAATTCCAAGTACATGCATGCAACTTGAACAGTACAACTTTATTCCCTATATATCCCCTAATATCTCTCTTGACAAATAATATATGCTTTCTGATTCTATATGCAAAAAGCTGGTTTTTCAAAATTGTCTCTTTCTTTGGGATATGGAAAATCAACTAACTAGCTTCTGGGTTTGACAAGGAACAGAATTCAAACGCAAATTATAAAGGTGCATGAATTGGATTGGATTTTATTCCCTTTATGTATTTGCATTTTCGAATCTCTCTCCTCTTAATTTCCTTCTTCGATCAGTTTTCTTTGATTTTCTCTACACGTCTCCATTTTCTGTTCTCAACTTTCTGTGCTTCCAAACAGTCGGTGGTTATATAACTAACATTTGATGAGCCAACCATATATTGTAGTGATGATTCAAAGAGTGTGATTTTGAAAATTGAAGCTCGATTGGATTCTCTCATGGTGGCTTCTTTTTTCTTTTCTTTTCTTTTTTGTTTTTATCTCATAGCAGCACGTTCGGTTTCACATTGTAAAATGTAAACTATAAACTGTATGCTATAGTACTTTTGGTATATAAAAACTTATCAGATACCATTGGGCAATTAATTAATTTACCAAACCGGTATTTATGAGTAATTTTTGATAACTAATTTCTTTACTAATCATAAATTAGTTATATGTCTCCTATATTTAAGAACATAATGAGTATTTTGTTGCAGTTATATAGTCCTGAGCTCATGCATATTTCCCCCCCTTTAAATGTGTGTTAAATATCATAACTCGAAAGGAATTAAAATTAATTAATGTTGATTATTACGCTAAAATGTTATAGTGAATTTGTCACCAGTATGTATTAAAAAAACAATTTTAGCATTTAAAAAAGGTAGGAAAATGACAAAAAAGGAAGTTAGAAATTTGTAAATATTAAATAAAAATTTGTTATTATTTATAAATTTAGTGTTGTCAACACCAAATAATCATCAAACTTGATTTGGAATTTATTGATTTTCAATTTCGTTTTTTGTCATTCGTCCAAAAAGGTATCATCCCACTAAGAAAAACATATCCCTAGCTAATTGTACTTATATGTGTACTTAATATTATATTATTATTTGACAAAAGTCTAAAACTTTTTGTGACTTATCATGTTTTTCTTTTTTGGCCAAAACACTTGTCGTGTTGTAAGAATATTTTTCCTAATAAGTTAAAAATCACAATGAAATGTAATTTTCTTTTTTTGAAATGCGACAAAGGAATAAAAAGCAAAAAAAGAGAATATTGAAAAAAGATAAGTCTCCCATCTAGTACAATTTGTTTGATATGGAGCTCAGGAGAAGCATCATCTATCATCCATACCTATACAATCAAATATATGAACATTGATGCCTCAATTAGTCACTATTACGTGTCTGTGTTTTGTCTTCTACTCCTCCCCGGTCATGACACTATAACTCATGTCATTAGTTTAGTGAGAAAGACTGAGAATAACGTTTAATAAGATCATTGCACAAGACATTCTAGTCAACAATATATCTAAGGAGTTGATTGTTGATAAAGTATAATGGCGTTGTGCGATTCATGTAACTGACCCCATCTAGTAAGATAAAGCTTCTTGTTATTATCTGGTTAGTCTAGTGAGATGAGACGCTATGTTCTTTAAGCAACTTTCAAAACTAGAGTTGTAAATGGAGCTACTAGCTTGAGGTGTCACCTCCTGTATGAACGTCTATAATACTCTAAAATAGGTTAGTTGGCCGTCAATTATTTATTTATATGAACTCATTTAGTTATAAATATAAAACTAAATATTTAATTTACAGATATTAAAAAAATTATTTGGGTTAATTAGTTGTAAAAAAAAAATACTCATTTTACTAATATATTTCTTTTAATAATTCATAATGAAAATTACCACATGTGGAAAATCTGTTTTTAATTAGTATGTGTAATCAAATTAAAAGGAATAGTTTGAGAATAATTTGAGTACTTAGGATTGGAGGAATATCATATGTACTAATACTAACGATCTCAAATTACAAACAAGATCAAATCTATGAACCACACCTGAATTCACTTTTTATTTATCCGCAGTAGTGACTTTACATCCAACTCAAAATTAAGATTCTAGATAATTGCCACGCGGAATCGACCCCGCTGTACAGTTTCAACCAAAAGCAATTAATTCCTGCATTTCCTTCAAGCACATCGGCAGGAAGATATTCTCATCCGTGCGGTAATACCATTATGTATGGGATATACTCCTGCTGTACTTAATATAGAATTTAATTATTGAGTTAATTTTAGTCTTAAATATAAGACATCTTTGTAATATTTATTAGTTTTTCTTAAATTACTCCTATTGATACTCTTTCAAGTATAATCAAGTAAAATAGGAAGGAAAGATATTAAGAAAGATGATTATGATATTTTAGAAAAAATATGTCATATTTCTTATAATTGACTAACTTGCCTAATTTTTTAATCTAGTCAAATTAGTTAAATAGATATTATATTAAGGATCATAGGAGTATATTATTATTTCAACTGGTTATATATTTACATTTTGTTCCCAATTGCGATGTGTTGTTTATTAATAGAAAATAAATACCTCGTCGGCCATAAAAGTATAGGCGGCAACAGAAGTAAGGGTTTAGAATATAATGTGATTTGGCCATTACTTATGGAATCAATATTATATGCAAGTAGCCAACTTACCAAATTTGTGTGCAAACTAATCAAATCGTAAACTCTTGGCAATATTCAGTAGGTCCCAAGGAGAAGATTTGATTCCAAGAATCAAAATGTGATGACATATATAGTTAGGGATAAAATGCAAATTTGTCACGAAAATTTTTACTTTAGGAGTGTTGGGTACGGAAAATTTTTTTGAAGCAAATTTGCTTTGGAAGTGCAGCAATATTATCCCATATCATTAAAAAAAAAAACTAACATTAATGGTAAAAATAGTGACGTCGACTGTTAAAATTTTTAATTGTAGGCAGACATATCGTTATGATTTTACACTTTCAGGATAAATTTGGTATGAAAAACTTCCAAATTCCTAACGCTCCTGGGTGAAAACTTCGGAGACAAATTTGTACATCATCTTCTATAGTCACTGTATATATGGCTTCTCTACAGCACCAGTAATTTACAGATCTGAATTTGTACCATTTATTGTTATCATTTTACATCTTTGCATGTAATGTATTCACATTAATTTAGGATTCTGTTTTATTATTACTACCTCCGGTCCTTAATATAAGACCCCATTTGACTTTTAGTTTGGTCCTAATTATAAGACCCCAATCCATTTT